TCTATTTCAGGAATCGAAGATGTCGAAAATTTATGAGAATCGAATGGATCAATATAAGATTTAAAAGATCTTTGAGAGCTGGATCTTAGTAATTTAGGAATTTTTGGTTTATCAAAAGTAATACTTATCTGACCATTATCAGATTGTTCAATTTCTGTAACATTACTACTTGTAACATTATGAGTTAATGAGTTTCTTTTACTTCCTTTATTAATTTGCCAAGACTCTGGAAATTCAATTTCTTCCCATTTTATAGTTTTACGAGTACTAATTTGAGATTTATAAAAATTAGTTTCTATTAATATGGTTTCATCAGATGGTTTACTTATAATCTTACATCTGGGTGTTAAGGTATTTAATAATTTAAAACAAATACGGTAATGTAAACAAATAAGTTCACTTCCCGGTAAATAATTGTAACCATGTAATTTCACATTTAAGGTTAAAGCATCGAGTATATTAACATCGATAATGATAGTCTGTAAATTTGGGTAGACATTAAAATAAACTGGACCATGAGCTAGGCTGGATCAGTATTATGCCCATAAGGGATTTTTTCCAATGTAAATTTCTACCATCACGTAAGGCAAAGAACAAAAGATTCGAGTAAACCTTCTAAAGTTAAAGGTTTAAATGCAATTTGCACCAATCCAATATGCATGAACTTATAATTTTTATGAGATCTATAAGATTCAATATCTGTAGCAGATAAAAGTTGTAAAACCCTTTCATCAGAATTTAAAGCAATTGATTGTTCAGTAGTTTTAACTACCTGTTTAACCAAGTATCGATCAAACATACCATATTCATACAAAGTATTAGTGGGTACCTTTGGTATTGACCACTTATTAAGAAGAGCAAGCTGTTGAGGCATATCATATTCCTCTTGAACTGAATTTTTTATTGAAGTACTTTCTAAATTATTCATTTTTAAATTAGGTTCTGAATCAAACAAATCTTTTGTAAACATAAAAAATACATAACCGCTCTGATACCAAATTGGCGTGGGGCTGGGGCCTGGCCAGAGAATCTAAATTTGGTAATATATATATAGTTATATAGCTATATATATAGTTATATATATAGTTATATATATATATATATAGTTATATATAGTTATATACATATATATATATATAGTTATATATATAGTTATATACATAGTTACATATATAGTTATATAAACATAGTTATATAGTTATATATATAGTTAAATATAGTTATATATAGTTATATATAGTTATATACATATATATATAGTTATATAACTATACATATAGTTATATAACTATATATATATAGTTATATATATATAACTATACATATATATAGCTATATATATAGTTATATAACTATATATATAGTTATATAACTATATATATATGTATATAACTATATATAACTATATATATAACTATATATATAGTTATATATAGTTATATATAGTTATATATAGTTATATATAGTTATACTATATATAACTATATATAACTATATATATAGTTATATACATATATATAGAGTTATATAACTCTATATATATAGAGTTATATAGAGTTATATAACTATATATATAGCTATATATATAGTTATAACTATATATAACTATATATATATATATAGTTATATATATGTATATAACTATATATAACTATATATATATGTATATATAGCTATGTATATATACATATATATATAGTTATATATACATAGTTATATAAGTATATATATACATAGTTATATAACTATATACATATATAGTTATATAACATATATAACATAGTTATATAGTTATATAACATATGTTATATAGTTATATAACATATGTATATAACTATATATGTATAGTTATATACATAGTTATATAACTATACATATATAGTTATATAGTTATATAGTTATATAACTATATATATATAGTTATAACTGAGTTTTAACACTTGTACTAGTTTTAGTACAAATTTAAAAATTCAATGTGAACTATTTTTATGGGACAGATAGAATAATATATTTAATATTACATTACTTTATATTTTTTTATTAATTTATTAACAAAAATAAATATGTTAATTACTTAAAAATGTCTTGATTTGAGTCAAAATTGGTCAAATTGGCAATCTCCAAACATAATGTGCCACCAAAAATAAAAAAGGGATCAAATTAGTTGAAAATGAAACTGTAACGGCCAAAACTAGTCAATTGTTATTGTTATAGACCAAATTAAGTTTTCTTTTTAATAAATATAAAGGACCATTTGATAAGTTAAATCTTACTGAATAAACACAATGGTTTGATTCGGCAATGTATCTGCGTTTTGCTAATCTGCATGGACTGCATTGTCCTCTCCAATATTCTGAACAACAAACTACAATCACCGCAAGGCAGCAGACTTCCTTTTGCAGATATTAAGTTATGTTTGTATTGTTTTACTCAGTTTGTAGTTTGTAAGGTTCCTCGTTCTGAAGTTTAGGCAGCACATGTCATTGCAAGACATGTCTGTCTTCACTGTAATGTACTGCTGTTTGATGTTTATATACATAAAGCACTCAGATGCTGGTTGATCAAAAAGAAAAATTATTCTTCTTGTTAGTCGCCTAGTGCACATCACAATACAGCAAGCTGAACGGACGGCACGGAAGTTAATGCGAAGTGCAGTTCTTAAAAACTATCATACCGGAGGCCCGATTAGAAGTATCTTTTTTATTACCTTTAATTTATAAGATATGTATACATTGCACCCCACCCAATCCCCAACTCATCCCACTCGGATGATATATAAACTTTTTTGTCCAGTGTGGCATATACATCAAGAAGGTGCGACGGAGCTTCTACCACCAGCACCACCATGAGCTTTGAGATTAATGTCTTCATTAGCAACAGGCTAAAGAGTACACAAATCCACCATTAGTCAAATTCTTGTTTCTATTAGTTCTTGTTTTCGTTAATTCATATCGTAAATTGTTTCCAGTATTTAGGTGACATTCGTATAGTTTTTATAGTTGGATCCCATAGGTTTAATTCCGTTGTGGACTATTATATTCCTGATGAGTTAGTATTTTTTTTTTCCAGAAATAAGACACATGTATACGAAAATAAAGCTGAACAAAAAGGAGAAGTTTGGCGGGTTAGGGTTCTCCCTCTTATGAGTTCATCTCAAACCCCATAAGGAGATAACACTAATCCATCAAATACACACACCACCTAATACAACACTCCCTACCTATTACAAATATTGTGGAAGAAATCAAAGTACCAAACACTTCATCTCTTGACTAACCTTAAAACACACAAAGATACAACTTCATTTCTCCAAAATACACACTACTTATTACATCACAACTATGTCAAATACCATAAGGTGTCTATTTAGTTGCACTTCCCTACAACATAACATACTAATGAGAAATTATGGATCGCAAAAGTATAATTAGATAGGAACCCAATAAGTATAAAAGGTCCAATTTGGACGCAAAAGTTTAAGTCAATGGCCGTTGGGTCCTTAATTTCCACTTATAAAATTTTATCTATTCCTTGCATGCATTGATGTGAAAAAAATTGAATTGTCACGATACTTCAATAAAAATGATAAAAGTAATGGAAAATAAGTATCCATTGAGGTGATATAATCCAATGAATAAAATAACCATCAATATTATTAGAAAACAAGTTGCTAAGCAATAATATCAGAAAATATATTAATTGAATTCACCCAATGAAACGATAAAACATCCAGTAATTCTATGGATCTCTTTAGAAATTATGAAAGAGTATAAAACCAAACAATGCAATTAATTTTGGAATAGAAAATGAATTACTAATCTTTCATATAAAAAGAACTAAAAACTTTATCAAAATGGCATGAATAAAGCGATTTCTTGAAGATTTGAAAATACACCTAAACACAAGAAAGTAGATTCTTCATCGTCATATTTTTAGGAATCAAATATAGTAAACTAAAATGTTTAAAAAGTTAAATCTCCAAGATTGTTAATTTACTTTCCCAGCTTTCCATTGATTTTCTTTTAGGGTTAATATCAAAAACATCCCCAAGGTTTAGCTCATTCTCTAAAACACCCTCAAGAGTATCATAAATATCAAGAAACCCCCTTGACCAGCCGGACTTGAATGTCAAACAGCAATTCTTATGAAATGACGAAAAACCCAAACAAATCCCGGTCAGAATCTGGCTGGGAATGGAGAAATCCTAATCCTCCAAAAAAACTAGCAGAAGCAACTATAAACACAAATTTCTATTATTTTCCTAAAATTAAATATCTTTATCTATTACTGATTTTATTCATAATCACTCGTTGCTCTCTTCCTCTCCCACCTTATTTCTCCTCCTTGTTCTTCCCTTCCTCTTTCGCCCCATGTCCACATCCCTTCCACGGTAGGGTGGGTCAATTTTTTCTTTTTTTTTTTGGAAAACAATTTCTTGATGAATTGATGGTGTGCTGGGTTTTCGATGGGCATTGATAGTCGTAAGTTCTTTGATGGTGATGGTGGAGTTTTCGGCAGTAATGATGGAGTTTTGGCGGAGACGAATTGAATGATGATGGTGGCTTTTAAGGTGTTAGATTTAGATAATGATCGTGGGGTTGGGGGGGAAGGGGGTTAGGAGTATTTGTTTAAGTGACATGATTTTGTATGGGAAGAGAGGAATGGTGGTGGGTTTGGTTTTGTTTGTTGGTATGGCAAATAGGACTTAAGGGGGCTATGGTAGTGGTAGTGGTGGCGCGGCAGGCATGGATGGTGGTGGTTGAAGTTGTGTCGGAGATTATGTTAATTGTTCAAGATATGAAGGGTACAATTGTACTTTTGTACATGTGACAGCAGAATTCACGGTCCATTTTCTCCTGATGATGATGAGATTGATGATCAGAATAGTTCAGGGACGTTCTTGATATTTCTGACACTCTTGAGCGTGTTTTAGAGAATGGGCTAAATCTCGAGGGTGTTTTTGATATTAACCCTTTCTTTTAGCGTGTTTTAGAGAATGGGCTAAATCTCGAGGGTGTTTTTGATATTAACCCTTTCTTTTATCCTCTTTAAAAAATCTGAACTGATGGGTGATTTGGACATTTTAACTCGAATCCTCTCCTAAAGGTCAACAGCTCAAGGTGTTTTTCTTGATATTTCGGGAAACAGAAACCCCTCTGTGGTGTAATCCTTCAAGTGCCTTGTGATTCTGAAAGAAAGCATCAATATTAAAAAACAAAGAATGGGACGCCCGCTTCTCTCTCAATTCCTCACTCTGTCCAACTCTTCGCCTTTGTTCGCTGCTTCAGTGTACGTCTTTTTTTTCCAATGACCCTTTTGGAATTGTTGCTCTATGAACTGATTAATCGGTAGATTTCAGAATGCAATGCCGTAGTTGGATGATGATTGAACTAAGTGTGGATTTTTTTGTTCGGTGCAGTACATGCAGAAGGAATCCAAATGAGTTGTTGAAGTGTACAACTGGGATTTTTCCTCACATTGGTCGAAAGTTTCGGTCTCTCTGTACTATCCCTGTTGCTGATGCGTCTTCCTCGGAGCCTGCTGTTTCAGAAACGTCTTCCGTTTCAATCAAGTAATTTGTTGATTATCATTGAAGCTTTAATTTAAGTTCTTACAGCTTATTTATTTTCATTTTTTTAACTTTACCACGTTGCGGTGGGGGGGAGGGACTTTCCAGTTGAGAGAAACAATCTTTTAATGGCAATTTATGGCTTTGATTACGTGGTTGTTAAATGCACATTTTCATTTTGTTTCTGACCTGGTAAGATCAGAGACCTCTCCTCTTTGGTTATTGATGATTAATGGTTCAATACGTCAAGGTGGTTACAGCAGCCTTGGTAGGCATACTGACATCTGATGGTTCTACTTTTGGAAGTGCTTTCTTGTGTTTTACATTGTTTTTGTGGATTGAATTACTGCTGTTTTTGGGTTTCTTTAATATATTGTTTGAATTTGTTTTGTCTTGTAATTGAGCTAAAGAACACGGGGATGGGCTTAAGGTCGAATTGAAGAATTAGTTCAAAAAGACTTTTAAATGATAGAATTAAGCACTGGAGCGAAAAGTGGGGACTGGGGAGCTTAGCAGAAGTGAGATGTCTGTCTTTCTGTGTCCTTAGTTTGCAAATTCTGTATAAATGTACAACGGGCCTTAGGATAGTGTTGAAACAAATATAATAACAGTGGACAACATCCAAAAGTGGAGGTATGTATATTCGAAAATTAAAGTATATCTGTTTCACTTTAAAAAATAACAAAATTAGGTTCTGACTTTGGAATTTCTCTCTTCTTTTCTTCTATTTGATTCAACAGGAAGAGGGTTGTCTCAGGCGTCCAGCCCACAGGATCCATACACCTTGGAAATTATCTTGGTGCCATAAAAAATTGGGTTGACTTACAAGTAAGGTTTATCTGCAACATACTATGCTGTATCATGTTTGATGGTATCTTGCTTGAACTTCTTACGAGACCACGTGTTTCTTATCATTATGCGGAAATCTAGTTGTTCACCCTTGTTGGTGTGGTTTGATTTGTATTGAGGATCAACTACATAATTCCACGGGGTTCCTTAACTATGTTATGTCTTTTATAACTCTCACACAAACATGCCCATTGGAGTTCTTGCATATATAAAAATCTCATGTTGAGGGATTGTTTTGGACAGATATTCAAAAATTAAATTCAATAGCTTTATTTAATTCTTTATGGGATGTGTACAGCTTCCTTGTGTTCCTCTTTTTTTTCTTTTTTCAATCTCTTACACGATGCATATCATGAAGTGTGACAAATTTAGAACTCTGCTCTAGAATTATTCTGTTTTACTATTCTGTCACTTGATTTCAAAAGATGTGTCTTTTTGAATTTCTCTTTCCTTTTGCAGGATCAATATGATACTCTATTCTTTATTGTTGATCTCCATGCGGTAAGTTCCATTTTGCTATTAATTTAATTTAGCTGAGCCCTTTTAGCACTAGGCTAGATTATTCGATCTTGGATTGGTCAAATTATGCCTGTGTGTAGATAATATTATTTCAGCTTTCTTTCTTGTGCCTTTACCTTGCTTAGCCTGGAAATCTTCTAACAGCCTGATAATTAAAGTTTATAGCACAATTTAATGAATAACTCGCTTTAGCAATAGGATGTGTGGGTTGTCTCACAAATTGGGGGAGTAGACATTTTATAAGTTTGAGACACTGTGTATCAAATGACACTTATAGAGAACATGTTTGAGGAGTACCGTTGATATCAGCTACCTTTATTTAGGGAGGTTGAATATGGGCATTCTTTAACAAGTGTATTTTTGGTATCCCAGATAAAGTTCTTTTTGCTTGCGAGTTATTGGTTGAATCATAAATGAACCTTACTCAAGCCTTGATTGGCTAAATCAGAAATGAATTGATTTTCATGCATCTTTTCCTTTGGTTTCGGATAAAAATATGTCTTATTCGCTAAACAGGGTTAGCCTTGAACACTGATAATAAATTGAAAGGCTTTGCTGGTGCTGGCTGATAATCAGAAATGAATTGATTTTCATGCATCTTTTCCTTTGGTTTTGGATAAAAATATGTCTTATTCGCTAAACAGGGTTAGCCTTGAACCCTGATAATAAATTGAAAGGCTTTGCTGGTGCTGGCTGAAAAATTAGTTGCCCGGCTACTATTTTGAGTTTATTATGAATATTTATGTACTTATAAGCCCACTTTTCTCTCTGGCCTTTCTGCACCAAGAAGATTATTGATAAATATAAGAGTTAGGAGTGAAATTGCATTGAAATAATATCTGGTTTTACACATTGTTTCTCCACACTGAAAAAAGGAAAAGAAATACCTGATATGCGAATCTTTGGGGGGATTTGATGGCAAGGAAACTAATTTTGCATGGGATTGTATCTGCTACAACATGTGTTTGTGTGCTTCAGAGAATGTTGGTGTTAGCCATTTAAAAATGCCTGCCAAGGATAACAAGTATATTTGGTGATATTGCTATCGCAGGCCATAACATATATAATTGGAATGTGTGTGTGTGTGTGTGTGTGTGTTCTTTTTTAGGGGGGAGAGGGGGTGTATTAATTGTGATGAAGAATGATCATTCGGCATTGAGCGTTTAGAAACCATGTTGTGACTTCATAATTTTTTATTTCTAGATAACTTTGCCTTATGATACGCAACAATTATCGAAAGTGACAAAGGAAACAGCCGCAATTTATTTGGCGTGTGGAGTGGATGTCTCCAAGGTTCGGTACTCTGATTTTTCCTTTATGTTTGTTTTCAAAAGTCGAGGTCCTGAAAGCAAATACTTTGCTTGTGGTTTTCGTGCGTAGGCATCAGTTTTTGTGCAATCACATGTTCGCGCTCATGTAGAATTAATGTGGTTGCTGAGTTCTGCAACACCTATTGGTTGGCTCAACAGAATGATCCAGTTTAAGGAGAAATCGCTGAAGGAGGTATTGATTTACTTTAGACATCCATGAATATGGTTTTCACCCTCCAATCATCATTATATTATATTCACCATTTTGGTAGTTTAGAAATGCGTAAAAGAGTGCAGAGTGAGGTAATATCTTGACACTAAGTATAAAACAAGTTGAGGTCTTGAATGTGTTTTTGGAAAATTCTTTCTGTTTTCTTACATGAATGTTTACGTTGATATCCTACTACCTGGAGTCCACAACCCCCTTCCTCCACCCGGTTCGTTACTCATCTACTCTTCCACAATTTCTGTAACATATCAATTTAAATATCAACTGATATCCCATGAGTTATGACTGATACGTTTTCAACTTGCTCAACATTTTGAAACAAAACTTCTATTTATCAAATACACAGATTGCAAAATGTTGACATTCACGCCCACTTGATTGATGCTTGTGCCTTCTCTACTTTACTTCTGCCTTTTATTTTGTTGTTAAGAAAGGGAACCTTAGCCTAGCTATAATCTTTGTTTACATGTGAGTTGAGGTCGGAAACTGTCTCTTATAGAAATATAAGTTAAGGCTTCATACCTAGACCTTGATGGCGAACCATTTACCCAACAACATGGAAAATGGTTTTTTCTTATGTTGTGTTTTTTTGAGCTTTTGCAATTGTATACTGCTTGTCTAAGTGAGGTGATGTCACCACTCCTGGAATAGAGGTTCCTATTTAGCCTATCAAAAAAACATTGGTTGACATCAAGGCAAAGTTGTTTATTTATTACACAAAGAAAGTTTTTTTTTGGCCATTGCTTGGATGATTGTCCCTTAAAAATTTGGTTTTTTCCTCTTTTGTCAGGGAGATGAAAATGTTGGAGTTGCTTTACTAACTTATCCAGTACTGATGGCTTCTGATATTTTACTGTATCAGGTAAGTGTTCCTATGTGGCATTCATATGACAGAATGTTGGTAAAACTAAAGTTTGTATTGATGGTTATGAACAGCAAATGAATTTAAATATTGTCGAACGGATTGTTGGATTACACTTTATTCCATTCTTTTATTATGTACATCTCTATGTTGTTGCTAGTTGTGATTCTGTCTCGAGAAGGTTGAGAATTAGTCTTTTATAGTGTTGTGATACAAGTCCTTGTGGAGGATAATTATCCTGAGAATACATGATTCTTATCAGTTGCAGCATCTTTCTGCAGTCTGATTATGTCCCAGTTGGGGATGATCAGAAGCAGCATCTGGAATTAACTCGAGATCTCGCAGAGCGTGTCAACTATCTATATGGCGGAAGGAAGTGGAAGAAATTGGGAGGGTAAGGAACAATCCATTAGTGTTCAAAGACCACTGCTATTTTGATCTATTTAGAGACTAGGAATGGAGCTCCCTTTCTTCTTCCACTTTAGGCATTTGGTTTACTAACTTATTTCAATTTTTGTTATAGGCGAGGTGGCACAATTTTTAAGGTGGTTGCTTTTTCTTTTGTTTGGCTGAGAATTATATTCCATTAATGGTTGTTCGTGATGCCAACTGCCAAGAGTTTAACTAGATTGCATAATGCAATTTATAGGTACCTGAACCCCTTATTCCACCTGCAGGAGCTCGTGTGATGTCCCTGACAGATGGACTTTCAAAGGTTTAATGTTCAAAACTTTAGATTGCCTAATATGTAGTATATTTTGCATGGAATTACGTTTAATGTTCAAACTTGACATTGTGTAATATGTAGTATCTTTAGCGCGAGTGACATTATAAAATTGTCTTTTTTCCCTTGAAATTTTATGTTTTGGATTTTTCTCAAATGGTTTTTATGTTGTGGCTTGATATTGTTACAGATGTCCAAGTCAGCACCTTCAGATCAGTCTCGGATCAATTTGCTTGATTCAAAAGATGTGAGTCGATATTCTTGAGGTTTATCGGAAGCCTTGTTGCTATTTTATCTTTGTGAAGTGAAAATCCTTTTTATTCATAATGCTTGTTTGGATGGGTATCGGAATGTATGCACGAAGCTGCTAGCTGATATTGCATATTTTCAGTTATGATGCTGAGAAACAATGAGACACACGAGTTCGTGGGCTGATATAGTGCTCATCTAAATACTGTGATTGTTCTCCAGTACTTGGACATCTGTATATTTTTATTGATCAAGTTTATCTGTGATTAGGATTTCATCAAATGAAGGTGGAAAGAAGCCTTTATGGCCAATTTAGCATTACATTGATGTTTCCTGGCATGATGGTGATATTTAGTGTAGTTTGATTTCAGTTCAGAACAAGAAAAATACGTGTATTGGTTGTACTAAGTGCAAAAGTGGGCCTGTTGACCTCATAAAAATTCTATGTCGTAGGAAAAAATGTTAGTAGAGTCAAGTTTCGAGATATTGACCTTATCTTATGTTGATTAAGATCAAGAAGAAGGTCTTTTCTGATGAAACTATGTTCTATGGAATACTTACCTGGATTATACAATTGCATTGCAGGTAATTGCAAACAAAATCAAACGATGCAAAACTGACTCATTTTCAGGGTTGGTATTGACTGCCTCCTGTATTTTATCAGTAATAACATCTCTCTCGTGTCTGGAATTGTTTAATAGAGCCTTCGAAAATTTTAATCCTTCCTAGCGAGTGTTAAATTATAAGTTCTTTGATATTTTTTTTATGGTTATTTCCTCTCACGTGTCATGCAGTTTGGAATTTGATAATTCCCAAAGACCTGAGTGTAACAATCTTCTATCAATTTATCAAATTGTCACGGGGAAGACAAAGCAGGTAAAACTGGCTCTGGTCAAAATTTGGCGTACATGTCCTATGTAGCTGACCCCACATAGTGGGAAAAATGTGTCTTCTTGTTGCATGTCCTATTATCCATTCTACAGTCTATTGTATTTTTAAAACTATATTGTATTTCAGCATATTCTTTCCATGTTCTAGTATATCTGTCGATAACTTCGAATTTAGAGGAGCTCTTCAACCTTCTAATTCAATCACTGAACTAATATACTCTCTCTACTTCCCTGGCTCGCTGGAGATTTATGGAAACTTTACATGCTATGTCATGGCTCTTAGGGATTTCTTTGCTATCCTTGTTACTTTTTTTTTTTTACTTTTCATATGGACAAAAGATCATTAGTCTATAATTCTTCTGTAAATTTTGTCATAGTTGAATAGATTGGTGGTTACTAGCCTAGCTATCAAAGGATGCCAAGCTATAAACTTTAAGTCATTTTCTGAATTAAAGCCCTGTAGTTTGCTCATAAGAAGTCAACTTAAGGACCTAAAAATGCAATTAGCCACTTTTCTCAATATTTGTTGAAGAACTGTAAGTGGTCAATGTTATCAAAAGATCCTCAAATTGAACTTTTGATATTGCTCCGATTGTTAGAAGTATTTTGTACTTTATGTGTCTGATCAAGTGGAAAGTGTTTAATGATTATACAATGTACCTCTCATCATGCGCATATGCTAATGTAGGAATTTACATGTGAATCTTTGTTCAGGAAGTTGCAGAAGAGTGCCAAAGTATGAATTGGGGAAATTTCAAGCCTGTCTTGACGGACGCTCTGATCGATCATCTATACCCTATCCAGGTTTCTGTTCTGAGTACTCATGTGCAGTAACTACAAACCTTTAGTTGGAATCCTATGCGAGGGGTTCTGACAGACTGCTAATCGTATCTGTAATGAGTTTGACCAGTTTTTAGTCTGTTCTTATCCAGTGCAAACCTTTTAGGTTCTGATTGCTAAAAAATGCTCAAAGTTAGGAGTTGATCTAAAAAAAAAATTAGAACATCATGGATCAATAGTGCCAACTTTACCAAGTTGCATTTGGGATGTTAAAAGGAAGGTACAGACGTCCAGAGCAGACAGAATGAACTGTTTCCAGATTCTTCATGAAATCCAGTGCATGAACTTGTCTGCTCTTTAGGATGGTGGCAAGTTGCCATGTTATTTGGATATGTATGCTTTTACTAAATAGCTTTACACGCCTCACTTCTTTTCAAGCTGATAAGGTTGATGTTTGACTATCTAAATCATGTCTGGAGTTGGTAATAGTTTTTACCACATTGCTGATTGTCAAATTAATAGGGTTCTTTGAAGTATGGAGACCTGTGTCTGTCTAGAATTTGTGATTAATGAGACTAAGCTAGTGAATTGTACTCCCTAATCGTGTATAATTTGGATCATTCAATGCTTGCAGCCTAGGGACTTCATAGCATCATTAGCTTTTACATCTTAATTTATATGGTCACCTGCATGGCTGCATTGCATCTGCTGTCTCATTAATTCTCTTTAAAATCTCTTCAGGTCCGATATGGAGAAATTATGTCTGATGGAAGTTACCTCGATACTGTTTTGGCTGATGGTGCTAGAAGAGCAACAGAAATAGCAGATAACACTTTAAAAAATGTCTACCAGGCAATGGGATTCTTGCGGTGATGAGAAGAGTAGTTGATGCTATTTCAAGAATTTGGTAACCAGGTCAGTTGTTGACAAGCTTGCTCAAATTTGGTATGTTCAGATTTCAAATTTTAACATGTCTATTTTAATTTTTGGGGTATAGGGTTCTCTGAGAAAAGTTCTGTCACTCTCGTACCAAGATGAAATTTGTGGCTGTCCTTAACTAATGATTTAGTGGGAGATATTTCGCAAATACCGTAGCATAATTAGAGAGTCCTCGCATGATTTTTTATCTATCAGCTGACAAACTTGAGAGGTACACTGAATTATAAAAGATGAAGAGAATATCCTTGATAGTCCAAGAGAAAGAATCTAGCTCTTGTTCTTATCATTATTAGCAAGTACCTTTTGGAAGTGGACGGTAATTGTAATTAGCTCACTTGAAATTTAAGCCGTAGGCATACTTTTTCTTTCTATTGGATGATTGCCACATCCTCCCCTGGTTCCTTATCAACGTAGAACATAATGAACATCCCACCTGTTCCAATAGAAGGAAGAGGAAAGCACTTAAATCCTTATTTGGATACCATCTCCCCACCCTCCCACAACCTTCGAATTTTTCTCAAAATGCTAGTGTCGGACCACGCATCTATATACCATGAAAGAGTGACGAGGAGAGGTCAATGGTCCTCTGAAAACTATACCCTGCCCTCTCTGCCAAGGAATAAAGCTGTAATTCTCAATCATTTCCTTACTTTGTATGCGCTGCCAAGACAGTTAATATGGATGTCCAGACAGGAGAGGAGATCCTTGTCTGGAAGTGTAAAGGAAATGTTCTCTTTCATCCATTGTCAGATTTTTCCTTCTACTTATTGTCAACCATTCACTTGCTCATTGAGACTGTCTGCTTTCAGTTCTACTGATTATGCCACCAGTTTATTTGAACTAGGACTTGAATAATCTTCTGTGTTGTGGTAATTTGGTAATGATGCAGTCTTCTTTATGATACTTTGTTGATCTCTGCTAGTACGTTTATTATTCTGCCTGTCTCAAGGATGGTGCCCTGCAGGACAAATACATATTCCCTTCAGGGTTCAAAGCATATTCGTTGCCAGTGGTGTAATGGTCTCTTGACTGGCAACCGGAATTCCTTACTTTTTGTTGCAATTGACGTGGTGATGGATATTGCTCAACTTGGAGGTTAACACAACAATGCTGGATTGCTTACATACTCACGACAGATACACTAGGTTTTATTCAGGATACTGAACGTACAGTCAAATTTTGCAAGATTACATTCATGGATCACTTCTATTCTTTCCTGTATGAGTAGTTACTGCAACTTTGAATCGCATTGATTCCTGAAGTTATAGAGATAATCCTCAGTGCAAAATTTTTTTTTTTTTTTTGCATGCATTAATCGTGTGTACAATCTTTCTCGGTTGTCACTCTGGTCAATGCATCAGCACCAAATATATATGCCTTGGGTTTTTGATGTAAATTCTGCATTCGGCATCTGACTTTCTGTGGATTCTTTTTTCGGGAGGCAAAAAATGGACTACCAAAAGAGTCTCAACGCAGTCAATAATCGACACATGGATGATAAATTGATTCTGCTGAAGAAGAAGATTTGGAATGAAGAGAGTACATTTTATTAGAAGATATGCAATGAGATTCTCCGTCGTACAAAAATACTCTCAAGTTGTCGAGACAACATTTGCAGTAGCTCTGAATACTCCTTTCACTTTGGCCCTTTTATATCATTTTCATTCACTCGCGGCTTGTTTAGAGCAATTTATGGGCTTGTTTAGACGTTTGCTCATTTTGTATTTTCAACTCATTTGGTCTCTTAAACACAAAACTCAATATAAACAAAATTGACGTTTAAACAACTTTTTAATTTATATTTTAAAATTAAATTTTAAATATTTTGCTAGAGCATTAATCATTTTTTGAACTAAAAATAGTTCAGTGATTAAATCCAAAATTTTACACATTTATTTCAGTTTGGTTCTAGTAAAAAATTTGAGGCCCAATCAGATGAGGGTTAGGAAATTTTTTTGTTGAATATGTATTGAAATATTAAGTACGAAAAATATCACTAAACAATCGAAAATTGTCAATTTTAGTCACTGTAAAAAAAGAATTTTAAAAATGATCACTAAACAATGGGAAAGTGTCCGATTTTGGTCACTGTAAAATATTAAATTTAGAAGCTATTCCGTGATTTTAGTGATCATTTTATAGTGACCAAAATCGACACTTTTCCGTTGTTTAGTAATCATTTTTGAAATTCATTTTTTACAGTGACTAAAATTGACACTTTTCGATTATTTAGTGATATTTTTCGTACTTGATATTTTAATACATATTCCAAAAAACTTTTTCCCAACCACTGTTCAAACAACTTTTTGCTAAAATACCATTCAAATAATTTTTTCATCTTCTATTATATTTTCACTTAAAACACTTTCTACGTTCAAGTTGAAAATGAAAACAAAACTGACGTCCAAACAAGCACATTTTCTTTCTTTCTTTGTGATTTTCAGGATAAATTGCACGACGTAGACAGAAAAAAAGATCGAAATCAATCGCACAAATGATTCTGTCTGACTCGTGTCTGAAAATCCTCTGTTAATATCTTAGGTAGTTGGCTTAGGACGCAAATCTGTTTGCCAAATTCGATTGCTCGATTTCCGGCCGGCGACTAGATGATGGTTGGCGTCAGCAATGACAAATTATGATGTTTGGAACATTTTGGCACTGAGCACTATACCTTTTTTTATTTTATTTTATTAGGAATATTGCTAGAAATACAAAATATAGATTGCAATTTTGAAATAAAGGGAAGAATATAGCATTCAACAATAATAATATAAGATAAGTATATGTTTTGTATTACTGTAATCAAGACGTGTATAAAATCTTCAAAGCATGATCTTTAGACACCATCCGTCCAAGAAAATAGTTTAATTTTAGAAATTAAAAAATCTTAAAATTAGATTTTTATCATTTATATATATATATATTTATGTATATTTCCACATTGATTTTTGAACAATGACAGGAACAAAGATAATATAAAGTGATACGGGATAGTTAAGTAATAATAATGGACAGTTATGTAAATATAAATATAAATAAGTCACGTCAGACACTATTTTATTTCACTATTTATTTTCAATCTATATATTATTTTTCTTAACATTTTCAATTGGATTATTTTTCGAGAAAGAAATAAAATAAATATTTAGGCGTAAGGGAGATTTCCTAATTTTGTTTCAGCTAGTGAGATTGAAATAATAAGCGGCCTTTCATTTTGAGATCCTAATGAAGTAACCTCTTGAGCTTCGGTTCAATGTAGGAATATCGTAGGACGATATTGATGTTAATTACCAAGCATTTATCAAACTATAGTATCCCACAAATTAAATTGATCTGGTTTTCAAATTTTGAGACGAAATGAATATTTTATTAAATTTTATTTGTATTGATACGAACAGCTAAACTCCATAAAATTTATCACGTCATTTTAGTTTACAAGTATTATTATTATTATTATCTCTGTCTTAAAAGAAAATATGAATTTCAATTTACAAAGTAAATTATTTTTCTCACACTGAGAAAGTACTTCGCGACCGTAAGCAGAAAAAAGTTTGCATGTTGTGGACCCGCCAAAATTGTTGTTTTCTGTCGCCCAACCGATATATAAAGCCCGGCAAATTTCTACCAGGAAATTCATTGAGCAGCTTCTTCACATTTTGCGTTTTGCTTTTCATTTCTTTTTTTAATAATCATCGCCATAATAACAGTGCAAAAAAAGAAAATGGAGGGAAGTCAGCTCCAACGCCAAGCAGCTTCCATAAGGAGAACCCTCTTTGAACAGGTTTTTTTTTTGCCTTCATCAAGAACTTTTCTTTATTGATCAACATTTATTAATGGTCTTTCTTATAATACTACATGTTACCAATTTTTTTTCTGTCATGCTTTTATTCGTATTTAGTTGGCTTTGAAGCAATAATTAAACATAGTAGTCGTCCCACGTACTTATACATACATACATATATATATATATATATATATATATGGCGCCACATTTCTTTTTATACATATAAAAATAACTACCAAAATGCTCTCCCTGTTCCAAAATTATTGTCCACTTTGAGTTTTCATTTTTAGTTCAATTTACACTAAAATTAAAAAATCAAACTGGACAATAATTATGAGACGGAGGGAGTATTTGTTTTTCAAGACAGAAGGAGTCTGGTGAAAAACAGTGTTTGAAAGAATACCATGCAAGATGATGATCTATATGTTCCTTCTAATTTCAGGGTTATCTCGATGAACAATTCATTCAGCTGGAAGAACTTCAAGATGATGCTAACCCTCACTTTGTGGAAGAAGTTGTGAAACTTTTCTACACCGATTCCGTGAGATTCATCCGCAACATTGAATTGGCAATGTAAATCCTCGTTAAATCTACAACATAATTCTCATTTTTTTTTGAACGGGAAAAAGTAAATTTAACTTTTAGTATATGACAACCAATTCTATTCTTATTCTTCTAACATTAACAGCATTACTATTATTTTAATAATTTTTTGCAGGCAAAGAAATCCTTTGGATTTCGACAAGTTGGATGATTATATGCACCAGTTCAAGGGTAGCAGCTCAGGGTATATTAATATAATATAATAAATATATAAAAAAAATTCAATTCTAGCTAATTGATAACATGATATTATAGTCTAAAACCATCTAACTAATTTCTGAACGGGTATCGATCATTGTTCATTCTGATTTTTAATTAAAAATAAGTATTCTTTCCGTCCCAGACAAAGTGAATAAACGGCTCGTCTTTTTCTTGGACGATGAGAGGAGGGGGAGTGTAATTTTATACTCCCTCTGTCCCAAAATTATTATCCAGTTTGAGATTTCAGTTTTAGTATAATTTGAATTAGAAATAAAAACACAAACTGGACAATAATTATGGGACGGGGGAGTAATGTAGAGAGGATAACAAATCATTTCGAAAAGTCAAAGATTCCGTGATGCAAAAGTCAATCCATCAAAGAGCTCCCCCCCTCCCCCACTCGAAGCCAAAACGTACAGTACTATTCCGCTAGTGGAGTTCAATTTCTTTTCATTCCGGAATTTATATTCTTTTTGGATAAAATCTTTTTCTTTAATAATATAGTGACATTCTAAGGCCTGATATTGTTGATAGCAGTAATAACGAAAATTAACGACAATTGATTCTAAATTTAACTTCACAAAAAATTTTGGTTTTTACTTGTCACTTAATACTATAAGAATCAATGTTGACATTATATATACTCCGTTGAAGATCATAAAGTGACAAAATCCGATGAAATTGCATGAGATAGAGAGAGGATCAGGATCGAGTCTCTTTGGGCACATCTGACAAAATTGAATCCATAGAGAAAGGATCGGAATCATATTCCCATCTCTAAAAAGTTTGTAAGGGTCCAATACTATCCAATCATTCATTTGTAACCTACAAATTTGGATCATGTTTCTTAGTTCCTACGTGAACCCAAAAAAAAGGTTTTGTCCAAATTAGATTCCCTCCAATCATTTTCCATCATATCAAATCACATGCAGCACGTAAAGTAAGTACAGAATCAGTCAAAATTGCAAAGTTTTATGGTCCCAATATGTGACACGGAATTTTGGTTTTCAATTTGCTTTGCTTTGATGCAGTATCGGAGCCAAGAAGGTGAAGAAAGAGTGCACACAATTCCAGGACTACTGCAAAGCAGGCGATGCTGAAGGGTGCGTAACGCAAAAGATAGTATTTCATTAAATTTTCGTCTCAAAATCATTATCTTAAAGGGGTTAAGTGAGTAAAAATAAAAAAAATATTCGTTAAATTTAACGGTGAGTCTCTCTTATTCATGATATTTGTGTTGTACAGATGTTTGAGGACCTTCCAAGCAGTGAAACAGGAGCATGCAAACCTAAAGAGGAGACTGGAAGCCTATTTTCAGGTAACTTCAATATTATCAATGAATCCTCCATATACAAGTAGTACTATATAATTCCGGTTGACGGTTTTGGTTATATTTTAACGGTGCTGTAAACATTTTATTTCAGTTGACAGGACAAATTTGAAGATGGCCTCAACAAACAAAGTGGTGAAAAGAAGTACTATCAGTATGAGCAAATAATGCATGATACCAATGGACAAAAACTACATTCAAACTGGATGTCGAATTTGTTCAGATAATTTTCAGTTGGCCGCGCGAGTTACAACGCGGGATGACCTGAATGGTTTATGAGCTACTTTATTATCAGAATAAAAAGAGAGGCATGTATACTTATGTGTAATTGTGTATAGCTAACGAGAAATATTTAAGTAAATAAGGTGACCCATTAATAATAAGCAAGAATCGTTTCATGCTAAATGCATACAAATTTATTTATTTTCTCTTTGTGATTCTACCCAACTTAATGGAGGACCAAAAGTGATGAAATTCTAAAGATTATGTAGCAGAAATGCAAATTCTCAGAAAAGAAATGAATTTTTTTGCCATCACAATTTTGTAACTTTTCTCAAATGTGAAAGTACAGAATCAAATGAGGGAACGAAACAAAAAATAAATAAATAAATAAAAGGAAAAGGTATCTAGGATGCATAAACTTAGTTTGGAGATGCAAATCCACTTTGCTCAGGCATCAATACTCGAGAGCAATTTTGTTAACATCGACCTTGTTCAACCCCATAATATGTATTTTTTTTTTTACCAAAATACGTTTTCAATGGAAAGATGTGGAGGATGTGGATAAATCTAGTCATGTCGATTATCCGAATCTCCTTAATTAATGTACTACTATCAATCAGATTAAAGTTCACAAACTACCACTAATAATTCATTCATAAAATGGCGAGAATTCAAAAATAAAATATACAATTATATAAGGCGGGAACTGAACTCAAAAATCCGACGGCACCAGTACTGTTGACTATTGGGCCCCTAGTGAAATATGTCAACTTTGTGGCATTATAAATCACGCTGCTGCCACTTGCCGTCGTCGCTTTGACTCGACTTTTGTCCCTTGCCCACCTACTCCTTCCGTGGCTTACACTTAGGCTGTTGCTTCATTCCAGTATGTTCCAGGGTTGTTGTCTACCCCTTATCCAGATTCAGCTGTGTCTTCTCAGGCTCATTTGGTGCAATATGCTTCTCCTCCTATACTTTGGCATCTGGATACTGGTGCTACTGATCATGCGACTCCGGACTTGTCATCGCTCAGCATTTCTAATGATTACCATGGTATGGATCACCTTTTTGTTGGTCATGGTGCTACTTTACATATTCAGCATATTAGTCAATCTGTTTTGCCATCGAGTTCCCGTCCTTTATATTTAAATCGTATCTTGCATGCTCCTGCTCTTACTAAATCTTTATTATCCGTTCAAAAATTTGCCAAGGATAATCACTGTTTCTTTGAATTCTACTTTGACTCTTGTTGTGTTAAGGATCTCTCCGCCAAGGAACTACTCCTCTGAGGTCGGGCTGATAATGGGCTCTATCGCTTAGATCTTCCTACTCGTGGTTCCTTATCTCTAGCTGCTTATCTTGTTTCTCTAGGTCAATGGCATGCTCGGTAAGGGCACCCTAATAATATTATTCTTCCTACTTTAGTTAGGCAGTTTCAGTTTCCTCATTCTTCTTTGTCCACGTCCACTGATAAATGTGAGGCGTGTTGCTTAGGAAAGTTACATCGAGTCAGCCTGCCTTCTACATTTCATCGTAGTATTACTTGTCTTTTAATGGCTATCGTTATTTTGTGCTTTTTGTTGATGATTTCTCGTTAGTTACATGGCTCTATCCTATCAAAAATAAAAGTGATGTTCCTCATATCTTCAAGCTGTTTAAAACTTTAGTTGAAAATCAGTTTGGTACCACTATTAAAAGTATCAACTTTGATTGGGGTGGTGAATTCCGTCCCTTGAATTCTTTCTTCAAAGATGTTGGTATTGTTCATCACATCACTTGTCCTCATACTCATGAGCAAAATGGCACTGCTGAAAGGAAAATTCGTCACATTGTGGATATTGGCCTTTATCTTCTTGGTCACTCTAGTACACCTTTTCGGTTTTGGGATTTTGCCTTTGAAACTGCTGTGTTCTTAATCAATCATCATCTAGTAAACCTCTTCGTGGTCAAATCCCTTACACCATTCTTTTTTATCAACCCCCTGACTACACATTCTTCGTATTTTTGGTTGTGCTGTCTATCTCTTACTTTGCCCTTATAATCGTCATAAATTTTCCTACCGTTCTACACAGTGTATCTTTCTTGGTTACTCTCCGGCTCACCTTGGTTATAGGTGTTTTGATCCAACCACTAGTCGTCCTTATGTTGCCCGTCATGTCCAATTTGATGAGCAACTTTTTCCCTTTCAAACGTCCCTTCTCTCCTTTGCCTCCACCCTAACCACCGTCATCTCCTACCCCTTGGTTCCGTGTCACTAGTTCTCCGGGGTTGGTTTCATCCTCTCCACCTGTGGTTCCTCCTTCTACTTCACATTCTCCACCCTCAACAACCCCTCCAATGCCTCCGTCACCCCCAGCGAGCCCTTCCTCTCCTCTGGCATCCTCTTCTTCCGCGTCTACCTCTTCTTCTGATTCCACTTCCTCTCCTGGTCTTAAGTTAGTTGTTGATCTAACTCAAGATCCTCCTCCGCATACCTCTGCTCCTCGTCGTCAGCACACTATGCAACTTTGTCTCACCACCCTTAATAAGACTAAGTTTGCTCATCTTACTCAGACATCGCCTCCCTTACCCACTCTTCCACTCACTCCTACTTCCTTCAGTCAAGTCAAATCTCTTCCTCAATGGCAACTTGCTATGCAGGATGAGATCTCTGCTCTTCAGAAAAATCATACCTGGTCTCTTGATCCTCCTCATTTGTTTGGAAATGTTGTGGCGAATCGATGGCTTTATAAGATTAAGACCCGTTCTGATGGTTTTATTGAGCGCTATAAGGCGCGGCTGGTTGCTCGGGGGTTTACTCAGTCTTTTGGTGTTGACTACACTGATACTTTTAGTCCGGTTGTTAAGCCGGTTACTATGCGTACTGTTCTTACTGTTGCTCTGGCTCGTGGATGGTTGGTTAGGTAGCTTGATGTTAGCAATGCCTTCCTTAATGGTGTCTTGCATGAGACTGTTTATATGGTTCAGCCGCAGGGCTTTATTAATCCTTTGCCCCCTCATTATGTTTGCAAGTTACATAAGTCCTTATATGGACTCAAGCAGGCTCCTCGGGCTTCGTATTCTCGATTGGCAGCTTTTCTGCTGAGCATGGGTTTCTCGAAATCTCGGTGTGATCCGTCATTTACCGTCGTGGATCTCATTTATATTTTCTTTTGGTTTATGTGGATGGCATCATTCTTCCTGGCAGCTCCTCCGTTTTTGTTCAGCATGTTACTTCTTCTATTGCTAAAGAGTTCTCTATTAGGGATTTGGGTCCCCTCAGTTACTTTATTGGAGTTGAGGTTACTCGTACTCCGCGGGGCCTCATCTTGTCTCAGCGCAAGTATTTGGTTAATTTGCTTTGAATTGCTAATATGAGCACTGGCAAGCTTGTTTCCACTCCTCTGCAGGCTGGTGTAGCGTTGTCCTGTTTGGATACCGCGTTGCTCTCTTCTGAGGAAGCGACTTCATATCGACGTCTGTGTGGCAGTCTTCAGTATACTACTTTGACTCGGCCTGATATTTGTTTTGCAGTTAATAAGCTCTGTTAATTTATGCATCAGCCTCCCACTACTCACCTTCAAGCTCTCAAACAAGTTCTTCGATATCTTCGTGGTACCCTTGATCTTGGTTTAGTTCTTCATCCCACAGACTTGTGTACTCTTACTGTCTTCTGTGATGCTGATTGGGCTGGTTGTCCTGATGACCACTGATCTACTACTGGCTTTCTTGTCTACTTGGGCCCTAATCTGCTTGCCTGGACTTCTCGGAAACAACCCACTGTTGCTCGCTCGTCTACTGAGGCTGAGTTTTGCGCTATTGTTAATGTTTGTGTTGAGCTGCATTGGGTGTGTCACCTGTTGTCGGAGCTGGGTGTTTCCTTACGTTGCTCTCCGTCTGTTTGGTGTGACAACAGTAGTGCTGTTTTCATGCTCGTACACGGCATGCTGAGGTGGATTTTCATTTTGTTCGTGATCATGTTCGTCGAAAGTTTGTGTCGATTCCACTCCTTGTCTGCTGCTGATCAGGTTGCTGATATTCTTACGAAACCTTTATCCAAATATATGTTTCTTCGTTTTTGAGACAAACTTCGGCTCCTTACTTCTTCGCCATCAGTTTGATGGGGCGTATTGTAGTAATTTATATTTACTGTAATAATTCAGTATTAGGGATTTCACTAACGTGTGTATATATATATATATATATATATATATATATATATATATATAAACACATTGTATATCTATGTTAATATCAATGAAGTGCAATCACTATTTTCCTAACTCTGGTGACATCAAAATAAGTTAGGTTAGAAAAAGAGACTAAAAGCAAAAGTCTGATGAGTACTTTTATATGTATATATGAAATAATGAAATAGATTTGAGTGACGTCCAACTCTGTTCGTTTTTACGGTTTCCGCGGGAGAAAACTCTTTGTTTTTTGAACTATTTTCTTCTTCGAATTAGGACTCAAGCGTTGCTGTCTGGATTCCTCGTGGATGCGTTCCTATTTTCAGTCGGGATATTTAATTTGGTTTCGTCGGAACAATTAGGGCTAGAATCCATACGTATCGACTGAATAGACTTTTGTTATTTTTTTGTTTGTTTTGCTCGGAATCATACCGGATTGATGGACTTATTGTCGACTTGAAGTAATCGGCGAGAAGGTGAAATCTCTGTCTGTTTAAATTCCTTCCGAACATAATAGTAGTATTTTTTTAGCTGAGATCACAATTTTGTTTGCTCGATTTGAAGACCCAAGCGATGGATATCTCCCGCGGATCGAAATCCTCTCCCGGCTTTCCATTGGTACTAATATCTTCGTTGCTTTAATTCCTAATTTCAAAGTTATCATCAATCCTCCGATAGCCGGTTAAATAGGGCAATAATCCCGTTTTCTCATGCATTATTTGTTTTGCTGCAATTGATTTAATTCCTCCAATTTCAAAGTTATCATTAATCCTACGACAGCGGTTCATTAGGGCAATGATCCATGGTAGTTAAACTATGTTCTCTCATGTCTCGTTTGTTTTGTTCCAAATTGAATGCCATATCCAAGGTTTGCTTCTTCACTAGATGTCTGAAGTTATACCATGTCTTAGTTGCAGTAATTGTCCATATTAGTCAAACCAATTATGTTTACTCATGTGTTTTTTTTTTTTTTTTTTTTTTGCTTTGCTTTAATTGAAGGAGAAGACAGAAGACATTCTCTTTCGTAGGCTCCTCAAAAAGGAAGAGGTAATATATTGGAATTCCAAAGATATCATTAGTTTTGGCTTCAGTATTTGATCCCTACCCCAGCGAGAATAATTAGAGCAAACATCCATATTGGTTAAATTAACTATGTTTTCTAATTTTTTGTTTCTTTTGCTCCAATTAAAGACACAAACAAAGTCCCTAATGAGGCACCAAACCTATGCTGATATCCTTGAAAAGGGAAAGGTAATACCTTCTGGCACTTCTGCTGTTTGCTTATTAATGTTAGTGGAATCCTGGAGATATAATTCTTAAGCTGCAGCATTTATCCATATTAATTAAACCAACTATGTTTTCTCATGTGTTTGTTTGTTTTGCTGTAATTGAATGGGAAGACGAAATTAATTTCTCCCCGAGGCTTCAAACCAACCGTGATATCCTGAAATGGTAATATCTTTGGGCACGTCTGCTGCAAGTTTGTTAGTCGAATTCTGAAGATATCATTACTTCAGTATTTAAGGTTCTAGTCGGAACAATTGCGGCGCACTAGCCATACCAATTTGTGTTCCATCATTTGTTGTTTGTTTCTTTTGTTCTAATTGAAGTTACAGAGGATACTTCAAATCTTCTCTTATTTACTCGAAAAGGAAAATTTAGTTTCTCATGTGCGTGTCGAATTGAAGGTGAAAGCAAAGGATATTGTCTCCCTGAGAAGGAAAAGGTAGTATCTGCTTTAATATCTTTCGGATTTGGCTGAATTCTCATGTGTCTTTAGCTGATTTCATTTGGTTTCCTTGACTTGAAGGTGGAAGCAATGGATATCATCAGTGGACCTGAATCTGTGATCTGCCCAGAGGTAATCTCTTGATTGCTTTAATTTTTCTTTCTTCTTCTCTGAGTCAGGGTGCCAAAGATATCATTACTTTTCGCTGCAGTAGTTAATCCTCTCCTAGCAGAAATTATTAGGGAAATTATGTATATTAGTTAAACCTACTATGCTTTCTGATGCATTGTTTGTTTTGCTCTAATTGGTAGAAAACTAATCGTCTCGCTTGGACATCAGACCACCCCTGATATCCTCAATAAGGAAAAGGTTTTGACTGTGTTGCTTTATTTTGTTTTCCCTCTTTGAGTTGGGGCTTTGTTCTGTTGTACTTCCATTGTTGAATGCTGAAGATTCGCTATAGTACACATTTATTACTGCTTAGCTGGAACAATTACTGCAATGATTGGTATCTGTTATCAATTGCGGATACTTTGTTTCTGATGCTATCTCTGTATTGCTCGATATGAAGTTGGGAATGCTCCATTTAAAGTTGGGACCACAGGACGGTAGTGAACCCCAATCGTCTGATCCTTTCAGCATTAATGATCATCTTGAGTTGGGCTCCAGTTCAGGCCGACATAATGATTTAGAGAACATTATTGGGAGATATGTTGAATTTGTTTTGGGTCAGAGACGCATTTTCCCCCCGGTAGTGAGCATAGTCCGTAATAAGGATGTAGGGTTTTTTTATATGTGTAATTTTTTCTCCTCTTAGTTTGATTTATTATGTCTGTTTATTTATTTATTTCTTTTTTTGTGGTGCTTTTTTTAGGTTCCTGATTCTTTCCCTAAGACAGAAAGAGGATCCACAACTTTAGCTTTTTTTAATGGAGATGAAATTTTGATAGCTGTTGATCACAAGGAGTTTTTTATATTTTGTAAACACAATTTATATGTACTTTATGATTTGATTTTAAGCATTAAATGGAGTCACTGACTGTTTGTTAATTTTTAGCTCCAAAGTCTTCTGTTCGGAACGTTGTTGAACTTAATTCTCACATGCTTGCCGCAATTTCTGGAGGGCGTGAAGTTTTTCTTTTTCTTGTTAGGTTTAGTTGCAATCTATGAAAGATTGCTCAAGAGTTCCATTGCGTATTTATGTTAGTGCCAAGCGCTAGAACTCAAGAATGAGGGCAGAATCTCGGTTGCTCTTGCATTGAAGAAGTTTACTTTTTCTGCTTGAATCGGAGGAGGAGCACTTATTGCAGGGTGGGATGAAACGGTAATTGTTTAGGCTTGTTATCGTCCTAGTATTATTTTCATTTTTTTCTTGAGCCATAAAATCTTCGGGGTTTATGTTCTCATGCAGGGTGGTACTCTGTGTCATCTGAATAGTAAGTAGTTCAAGACGGATGGTGGATAAGAACTGTTCTGAGAAGCCATTCAAGAAGAGGATATGTGCAACTGGATCCGGTGCAAAACGTGTTATTTCTGGAAGAGTATGCTTCTTTATATAGTATAAGATTTAAAGTAGTGCCCTTGGCCTTGACTTGTCATATACTCATACGTAAAGACATGGCTGTTGTTGCATGCGTTACTTTTAGCCTTGATGGATTCAATATTTATCTGGTTTGGTGCTTTTTTTTTTTTTCACTACTACTATTGTGCATAAAATGTGTTCTCTCCCTGTGCGCGTGTGTGAGGTTTTTGAAACTTGGGGTGTTTTACATAAATGAGTAATCTGAAGAATTTGTGGCTGTTTTAGTAAGTTGGATGATGAGATTCCAGCAATTGAAGCTGCAAAGTTGGCAAAATCTGCAATCTGCTATGCTGCCTATGGAGCTTATGAATGTGGTAATTTTGTTAGTGGTATGTTTGTAGCCTCCCTGGGTACTTCTTTCTTTCTTTGTTACAATGTTGTTGCTGAAAATCAGCCCCGTACCTCGCTTTCTGCATCCTGATGAATCTTTACTTCCCCTCTTTTTCCCTTTTTTTTTGGTGAAGTTTTCCTGGTAAATGAGGATGGGTGGAAGACGCTCATCGCTGGGGATGTTATAGAAGAGTGGCAAGAGGAGAATATCAAAATGTTAAGAAGTGACTATGATCTCCCAATGCGAGTTTACATTGGTTCGCTGGACTAAGAAGATTGGAACCTATCTATGTATGATGATGCAGCTTCTTTTTAATTTGGTTGTTGATGTTGGATTGGCTAGAACGTTAAAGTGAATTCCTCTTTGACATAATGAGTTGTTCCAGTTTTATGTCTTTTCTCTCTCTGTTAGGAACTACGACTTGCTAAAATGATCAAAGTGGAACAAAATAAAAAATTCTGTCATGAAATGATTGTCGAGTTTAAATTTTTATTTTCTTAAATATAAATTGTATAAAAATGCAAAACAGGACAATAATGGTTATTGAGAAAGAGAATGAAAGTTTCTTTCGATTTTTCAGATTCAAGGAATTAATAGTGATAGTAAAATTAATAAACTTTGTCTCTTTGGCTTTGCACCCCAAGTTGTCTAATGAGACTCCAATATTTTCATAACTGAAGCTTCGATAGTCGGCTAGATCTGCAATCAAAGAATTAGCGCGATCCACATTGATACTATTGTAAAACTTGTGTCATAATTTTAGGTGTACTATCACTACATCGGGTCATTCCAGTTCCAGATGTCTGTTTCTGTGGTCAAACAAGTAAATAAGATCACTAGTTTAGCATTTTAAGCGAGTGATTTTCATGCTTCTGTAATCATTTAGCTTGGAGCTTGTCTTCTCAAAATTCAGACTACTGTCCCATTTTTGTCGGGTGGGGACTTTGCTAGTTTTTATGTCTAAATATGAGCTAAAAGGTGCTTTGAGTCAGGTTAGAGATGGAGTTCCTTTTTTCGACTCTGTGTAAGTTCCATGAATTGTTTAATGGCTCTAACTGGCTTTTGGAACTACAGACATGGCTCCTGCTAGCCTAGTAAAAAAAATACTCTGCGAACAGTATATAACATGTTCGGCTTAATAAGTTTACACTTGGTCTCCTGTATCCCTTGTAAAACTTTATATGTGTTTGCACCTCTGACCTTCCTCCCTTGTAAAACTTTATAATAATTAGGTCACATCAATCATTGATCCTTTTTCCGTTCTTGTTAGGCTCGTCGGGACATTATCAGAAAGCTGGTCGATCTGATTGGAAACACATCCATCATGGCGGTTAGTTGTTATGGCATGATTTTTATTGGCTTATTCTGTGATTTGTGAATCCTAATTCGTTTGCCTGCAGGTTTTGATACATCTCATTGGTACTGATGAACACCTTTATTCCGATTGTACCGATGTGATCCAGTGGCTGAGAGAATCAGATGTGCTGGAGATGGAGTTGTTTGTATCAGTAAGTTGTGTAGAAAGAAGTTAGGAATAGGTAACTTCATTTCGGGTGCCCTTGCAATAGCTTTTTGCATCAGCACGTAAATCAAATTGTAGGATCTTGCATTCAGAGCAAGAATTCACTTTTTGTTGAACACATTCTTCGTTATGTAAACTGGTCAGCAAAGTGGGGAAGAATTCTATGTTGGTCTCTGCTTCAGATAAAGTAATTCGAATTGCCTCGGCAGTCCTCGATTTTGCTTTTGGATCTCCTTTCTTCTCCAGTAGCTTGCATGCCATGACATTTACTTGGTCTAGTTTCAGTTTTTGACTTTCTGCGTATTGAATTCGTTACTGACAGTTAATCTTGTTGACATCTTTTGCCGCAGCCTGCTTTCTCAGCTCTGGGGAAACCACCTCCTAGGATTGGGAACATTGGACATATTGCACGTGCAGCGAACAACCTTGGTAATGTATAATCTCATCTTTACCTATTCCTAACTTCTTTTTTCCTTTCTCGCGGCGTTTTCCTCCTTCAGTAAAGAAGATTTCCTTTGTCTGCTTTAGCTATGCCCAGTTCTGGAGTTTGCAGGTTTTTATAAATTCCACTCTTGAGGGCCTTCGGCAATTAGTGTCTTTGTTGTAGTGTATAAAACTTTGGTGAATGCTAATGCCAGCTGTGATGGTTTCAATAATTTGGATCTCTAACCTAAATTAGTCAATATTGGTCACTAGAACCGTATGTGGCATAAGACATACAATAGTTGTGATGTTTGAACTAACTCATTTTATTTAGGTTTCGATCCTATCAAAAAAGTTGACAACCTGACTTCCCACCGTCTCATCGGGTTTGCTGGATCAAGCCGAGGACAAAGACGACTGTGCGAACTATGTGCGTGAAGTCGTAAATATTTTCATAACACTATGCAAGTATTTACCATATCCTGATATATCTAATACTTCCTCCGTCCCATAATTATTGTCCAGTTTGAAATTTTACTTTTAGTACAATTTAAATTAGAAATGAAAACTCAAACTGGATAATAATTATGGAACGGAGGGAGTATTTCCTTTTATTGGCCAGGTACAAGACTATTCTAATAGGGAACAAAACTGTTCCCTCACAGCTTTGGCATTCGCTTACCTGTCATTTTATCATGCTCCACAGAAGCCTGTTAATTTAGACTTGATTATAGCTGGAACAATGGGTGGGTATGCGGGCGTTCACGTTTAGCTTTAAGGTTAGTGATATTGCCAAAATAATTTTAGTATCCAAAACAAATTAGTGCTCTTTTGCTTAAATTATCTTATGAGGTCAATCATTATTTTTTTCTCTCTGTATTTTTCTCCCTTAATTCCGTGTATTCTTCTTATATCTGCTCTTCTTCTCTCACTACTTAGAATGCTTAAATCAACAAGTCCGAGGACATTGTGCTCTCAATCCACTCTACTGTCACTTCTCCTAAATCAACAGATGTTGACCACGCTTTTAAAAAACAAATTGAAGAAAAAAAATTGTTGTTTGGTAAAACGTGTAAGGGCTTTGCTTATCACTCTTCTTGGATCATCTACCTATCCAGGTTTCTGTTCTGAGTACTCACGTGCAGTAACTACAAACCTATTGTTGGAATGCTATGCCAGGGACTCTGACACAGTGCTAATCGTAACACAGTAATGAATTTGTGCAGTCTGTTCTTAGAGCATCCACAACGTTGAAGCAAAACACTAATTTGGTATCCAATTTTACTGCGTGAATGCTCCAATGTTGCAGCAGAGCACCAATTCCAAGCAGCAAAATGCTGCAACAACTACAGTAAAATAGCAAATTTGCTCCTCTACTGTTGCAGAAGCAAATGGCGACCCCAGCCCCTTTTGTTCGTTTTCCTTTTTTCTTTTTACTTTTAATTTGTTTACAAGTCTTTATAGTTATATTTTATTATTAATTTTCATGTACATAAAATTAATATTTTAAGAAATATCTTTCAAAGTAATTATTACTTTTTTTAATCAATGATTTTAATTTTTTTTTCATTTATATTGTTCAAGAGCTCATTATTTTTATAATAAAATGATTTGATGTTGGAACAAAAATAAAAATTATTTGTAATCAAATAATGTGTGTATTATATTATACTAGTATTATTCCCGCACGTTGTGTGATGATATAATATATTATATATTAATTTAATAATAAAAAAATATAATATTTCGGTTTGGCTAATAATTGAATATAGTCTTTGGTTTATTTCACTTTGGATCTCGGTTTGACTATTAAGGGAACAAAATCAGATGATGTCATTATTATATAATAAAATTAAATATGAAAATAATGTAATATATGAAATAGAAAGAAAGAACTTATGTTATCAAATAAATAGAATGTAGAATTTGTAAGTCTTTTTAGTACTAAACTAAATTATTGGGGCTATTACATAATTATAAAAAGTATAAATACTAATTAAAAAATCCTAGCCTACCTATTTTTTTTCCACAGCCGCCCACCCTTTCTTTTTCTCTTCTATGCTTCAGTTCTCACTTTTCAGCCACCCCGCGGCCCCTTCTTTTTTTTCCCCCTCTCTCCGTTTTCATTCTTTTTCTCCCTCCCCTTTCTACCATATTTTTTTGGGGGGGATTCTCCCTCTTCTTTCTATTCCTATTTTTGAGGGATTTTTCCGATCATTTATCGTGAAGAACATAGCTTCCTCTAATCTGGTTGATTTATTGTATCGAATTATGATGATCAAGGTTTTCTTTAGGGAGGAGGAGTGGTTTCTTTCTTTTGAAAGCCAGTATGAGAGACGATGATGATGCAGTATTCCTTCTTCTACTTGGTTGAAAATACTGGTGTTGTTAAAAAAGATGAGTTCTGCCTGATTAATTTAGTCAGTCAGTTGTCGGATACATTTTATAGTCGATTTTGTACGATCAATTTCAATTAAAATTGGTGTAAGGAATTAAACGATGATGTGTGAAAGTTAATTTAATAAATGTTGCCATTTTACTTTGTAAAATACATATATTAAAAATCCAGTAAATATAGTAGCCAATAAAAAGATGACACGTGTATTAAAAAAATTATCAACGAATGAAAAGATGACATGTATACTTGAAAATTATCGATGATCTAATTAACTAACATGTGCCTTTTGAAAAAAATTCTCTTAATATATAGTAAGATTAGAAAAAGTATTAAAATACAAATACATTAATACTAGAACAACCAAATTACCAAAATATAAAACAAACATTCAACAAATCAAAAATAGATATACACTTATTAGAAAAATAAATAAAATTTTTAAACACATAACACAAATAAATTAGTAAATAATGATAAGAAGGAGAATGTACAAAGAATATTCTATTTTGATGTAAAAAGTAGTATTGTGGGTTGGAGATAACAAGAAGCAAAAGAGCAAATTTGATTATTTGGTGTGCAGCAAATAGATGCAACACTAAAGATGCTCTTATCTAGTGCAAACCTTTTAGGTTCTGATAGCTAAGAACAAGTTTAGTGGTAGTAAATAGTATAGAATCACGTGCCACTTACCATTCAAGTCATTGAAGAGAGTTAAGTGATGCATCACGTAAATTTGTTTCTTACTTGCATTTTGCTACAAAATGTGGGGTTAAATGGTGGGCCAACCTGACTTTTTGCTGGTTGGGTTATCTTAGAAAATAAAAAAATTATTTTGGGTGCAGAAGAAGGCCCATTTACTTATTAATTTTGGGGTAAATTTGGTGTAAGAACATAAGAAGTAAAAAGGTGGGGTTGGTGTGTGCCTATGTGGAGGGAGGAACCCAACTTATTCTACAACACCGATGTACATGCTCTTAGGAGATGGTCTAATTCAAAAACTAGAACATCATGGATCAATAGTGCCAACTTTACCAAGTTGCAATTGGTATGTTAAAAGTAAGGTACAGACGTCCAGAGCAGACAGAATGAACTTTTTCCAGATTCTTCATGAAATCAAGTGTATGAACTTTGTCAGGTCTTTAGGATGGTGGCAAGTTGCCATGTTATTTGGATATGTATGCTTCTACTAAATAGCTTTACACGCGTCACTGCTTTTCAAGCTGATAAGGTTGGTGTTTGACTATCTAAATCGTGTCCGGAGTTGGTAATAGTTATCACCACATTGCTAATTGTCAAATTAATAGGTTTGTTTGAAGTATGGAGACCTGTGTCATGTGTAGAAATGCTGGCAGTTACAATTGCACGCAGGATTTGTGATTAATGAGCCTAAGCTAGTGAATTGTACTCGCTACTCGTGTATAATTTGGATCATTCAATGTTTGTAGCCTAGGCTCTTCCTTATTAGCTAGCATCATTAGCTTTTATATGCCCTCCTGCATTTCAAATGCTGTCTCATTAATTGTCTTTAAAATCTTTTCAGGTTGGATATGGAGAAATTATGTGTGATGGAAGTTACCTCGACACTGTTTTGGCTGATGGTGCTAAAAGAGCAACAGAAATAGCAGATAATACTTTAACAAAATGTCTACCAGGCAATGGGATTGTTGGGGTGATGAGAAGAGTAGTTGATGCTGTTTGAAGAATTTGGTAACCAGGTCAGTTGTTGACAAGTTTTCTCAAATTTAGTATGTTCAGATTTCTAATTTTAATATTTCTATTTAAGTTTTGGGGTATAGGGTTCTCTGAGAAAAGTGTGTCACTCTCTTGTACCTAAATGAAAAATTTAATGGAGATATTTCGCAAATACCATAGCATAATTCGGCAGTTATCACATGATATTTTTTAATCTAAGGGCTGACAAGCTTGAGAGGTACACTGAATTATAAAGGATGAAGAGAATATCCACCTGATAGTCCAAGAGAAAGAATCTAGCTCTTGTTGTTATCATTAGTAAGTTACTTTTTGGAAGTGGACAGGAATTGAAATTTAAGCCGTAGGCATATATACTTTTTCTTTACTATTGGATGATTGCCACATCCTTCCCTGGTTCCTTATCAACATAGAAGATAATGAACATCCCACCTGTTCCAATAGAAGCAAGAGGAAAGCGCTTAAATCCTTATTCCGATACCATCATATCTCCCCCACCCTCCCACAATCTTTGAATTTTTTCTCAAAATGCTAGCGCCGGACCACGCATGAAAGAGTGACAGGGAGATCTCGGCTTCGGTATCCTTGATTGGGTGGCAAAGGAATAAAGCTGTAATTCTCAATCATTTCTTTACTTTGTATGCGCTGCCAAGATAGTTAATATGGAATGTTCAGACAGGACAGGAGATCCTTGTCTGGATGTGTAAAGGAAATGTTCTGTTTCATGCATCGTTAGATTTTTCCTTTAACACAACCATGCCGGATTGATTAGATACAATGCACGACAGATATACTAGGTTTTATTCAGGATACTGAACGTACAGTCGAAATTGCGAGATTAACGTTCATGGTCTTTCCTGTATGATTGTAATTACAGCCATTTCTTTTTTTGAACGCATTAATAAGGGTGTAATTTGTATATAATCGTTCCCAGTTGTCACTCTGGTCAATGCATCAGCACCATATATATATGCCTTGGGTTTTTTATGCAAATTCCGCAGGGCTTTCTGTGGATTCTTTTTTTTTTTTTTTTTTGGGGGAGGCAAAAAAATGGACTACCAAAAAAGTCTCAATTCAGTCAGTAATCGACACATGGCTCATAAATTGATTCTGCTGAAGAAGGAGATTGCGAATTAAGAGAGTATATTTTGCAATGAGATTCTCGGTCTTACTTTTTTGTGTTAGTTCGTAGGAGTAATTCTTAGGGTTTCCCTGAATACTCCTTTCACTTTGGCCCTTTTTGGCTTTTTCACTTTTAGTAGTATTTCTTTCTTTCAGAGTTTCAGAATCTATTGCACGAAGTAAAAAAAAGAAAAAAAAATCGAAATCTTATGTGCTGGCGATGGAATTGCAGTTGACTGTGGTGCACGAATGATTTTGTCTGGCTCGTGTCTGAAAATCCTCTGTTAAGATTAGAGGGAGTTGACTTGGGACGCTATTCTGTTCCTTCCGCAATAATAAATTTCTTGAAAACCTCTTGTCTTGATTATAAGAAATTTTAATTTTTCTTAAATTTTACTCCCTCCGTCCCATAATTATTGTCTACTTTGTCTAAAAAATTTTATCCCAAAATTATTGTCCAATTTGACTTTTTATGGATCAAGTTACACATTTGTCCTTAATAAAAAACATTATCCATAAAATCTAAGTGGTTAAACAATTACTTATGTAGAGATATATCCGGTTGTTTAAGGTAAAATATAGTCAAGTTTGACTAAAAATAAAATCTTTTATTTTAGTAAAACTGGACAATAATTATGGGACGGAGGGAGTATCTATTTCCCTACTTGAAAATAAAATCTTAAAAATATTAAGATACTAAATGAAATTTAGGACAAACAAATCAAATGACCAAATAAGTTATAAGGTAATAATGATAATGATCGGAGGGAGTAATAAATAATACCGATGAGGAAGTATTTTTAGTTTTCAATCCTTTTATTTAAAACTTCTATACATGATTCCACCCCCAAACCACACTAATCTTTAGCTGAAACGGCCGAAATGCACCTCTTACTCGGACTTTTATTCTTTTGTGTGCCAACCAGGAGATTCCTTCCGGGCAAAGAATCAGAAGCGCTTTATTGCGTGAATACAAAACCCCTCTTCGTTATCTGTCTACCAAATTCGAGTGGTCGGTTCTTGGCCAGCGACTAGATGATGATTGGCGTCAGCAATGACAAAATATGATAAAATGTTTGAAACGTTTTTGCACTATGTCTTTTCTTTTTTTTTTTATCATTAGAAATATAAAATGAATGTTAGAAACAGTGGCGGAACTAGAAATTCTAAACAGAAAGAGAAAAATGACATTTTTTTTCTTATAATAGGAGAAAAATTTTGACTCGTTAAAATTTTAAACTAAAAAATTAAACCCTTCTTTAAATTTTTTTGAAAAAATGAGAATGGGACGACCGTCCCTATTGGTTCCCTGGCTCCGCACTGATTAGAAATACAAAAAATAAATCAATACTTTGAAACAAAAGGAAAAATCTAGCATTTATAACAATAACTACAACCGAGCACTCTTTAACATGACGTTTTTTAACAACAAAGTATGTAATTATGAAAAGAAAATTAACGATGAAGCTCTCTAAATTGGATTTATGGTTGGAAGAAATAAATTGTTGATGATAATTTTGCTTCGAATATGATTATTAGAAAAATTAAATTTGAGAAAATAATAATTGATCCTTCAAATCAAATTATTATGCAGTAACTTTAAGATTATGCCTAAAATTATGAAATCTTATTTACTTATTAAGCCAAAACTACATCGTATTGTTTCTGGAGTTTAGGTGGGAAAATATCTTTTGTGGAGTTACCACGTGATTTTTGTGACAGTTACTTTCAATAAGTGTAAATAACAATACATGTATATATTTTGTATTAACGTATCAAGACGTGTATAAAATCTTTGAAGTATATTTTCAAAAACCATCTGTCCAAAAAAAATAATTCAATTTTAGAAATTTAAATCTTAAAACTAGATTTTTATCATATTCATATATATTTTCATATTGATTTTTGAGCAATGATAAGGACAATGACAATATGAAATTAAATAAAATAGTTAAGTAATAATAAAAAGACGATTATATAAATATAAACACGCCACATCAGTTACTATCATATTTCACTATTCATTTTCACTTTATATATTATGTTCCTTAATGTTTTCAGCTAGTGAGATTCAAATAATCTGTCGCCTTTCATTTGAGATCCTAATGAAGTAACCTCTTGAGCTTTGGTTCAATTTATCGTAGCACGATATTGATGTTATTTACGCATTTATCAAACTACAGTATTCGACAAATTAAAAAATGATCTGGTTTTTAAAATTGGGACGAAATCAGTATTTGATTGATTTCTATTTGCATTCATATTAACAGGTAAACTCTACATATCGTCTCTTCTTTTTGCTTTACAAGTTAATAAGCAGTCCTATTATTTCTATTTCTGCCCTAAAAAATTATTATTTTCAATTAACAAAGTGAATTAACTTCCTCACAGCGAGAAAGTACTTAACGACGGTAAGTAGAAATGTTTTTTGCATGTTGTGGACCCTTCAAAATTGTTGTTTTCTGGCGCCCAACCTGTATATAAAGCCCGCCAAATTTCTACCAGGAAATTCATTGAGCAGCTTCTTCACATTTTGCATTTTGCTTTTCAATTTCTGTGTTATCAACCATAACAGTGCAAAAGAAGAAATGGAGGGAAGTCAGCTCCAACGTCAAGCAGCTGCCATGAGGAGAACCCTCTTTGAACAGGTTCCTTTTTCATCAAGAAAATTAAAACTTTTCTTTTATGGATTAATTAACATTTATTAATGGTCTTTCTTATAATACATGTTTCCAATTTTCTCTCATGCTTTCATTCGTATTTAGTTGGCTTTGAAGCAATAATTAGACATTGTAGTCTTCCTACGTGCCTATACAAATATATGGCGCCACGTTTCTTTTTATAAATATATAGGTATATATTTAAAAACTCAGGGTGAACTAATTTTTTAGAACGGATGGAGTATAACAAAATATTTTAATATTTTTTAAGAACGGAACTGAGTCTCGTGAAAAGAGTGTTTGAAAGAATACCATGCAAGATGATGATCTATATGTTCCTTCTAATTTCAGGGTTATCTCGATGAACAATTCATTCAGCTGGAAGAACTTCAAGATGATGCTAACCCTTACTTTGTGGAAGAAGTTGTCAAACTTTTTTACACGGATTCCTCGAGATTCATCCGCAACATTGAATTGGCAATGTAAATGCTGATAAAATTTCTAATCTCTCTTAGTTATTTTTCTCGTAAACTCTACAACATAACTCTCATTTTGGGACGGAAAAATTAATATTAGTTTTTGCGATAACCATTTCTATTCTTCTTCTAACATTAACAGCACAGCTATTATTTTATTTTTTGCAGGGAAAGAAATCCTTTGGATTTTGACAAGTTGGATGATGTTATGCACCAGTTTAAGGGTAGCAGCTCAGGGTAATAATATATGTAAATTCTAGCCAGTTGGTATAGTCTAAGATCATCTAACTAAATTTTCTAAATGGGTCCTAAACTTAAAACAATAAAAATGAAGGAGTTATGAGACAAATCATCGTTCTCTTTCCATCTCAAATTAGTAAATAACGACTCATGCTTTTTCTTTTTTTTTTTTCTTTTTTTTTTGGAGAGGAGGGTAAGTGTCATGTATATAATGTAAACTGTAAAGAGCATAACAAATCATTTTTGAAAAGTTGAAGATTCCGTGATGCAAAAGTCAACACCCTTCCCCCACTCGAAGCCGTTGCGGAGTTCAATTTTTTTGGTCATTCGGCAATTTAATTCTTTTTCATTTTATTTTTTTTCCTTTTTTGAAAAAATATAAAGGAGTGACATTCTAAGGCTGGTTTTTTCTTTTACCACTAGTAACGATAATTAACGAAAATTGATTCTCTAAATTTAACTTCACAAAATCTGTCATATTTTTATGATTTCCCTAAGGCTTGATAGCATCTCTCATACAGCCTAGATAATCTAGAGAGGTCTCGCATCTCGATCTTTGCCTTCGTCTCCTTATTTTGTACTGCAAAAATTTTGGTTTTTTATTCTTTCACTTAATACTATAAGCATCAATGTTGAGATTATACTCGTTTGAAGATCACAAAGCTAGTTCCTTTATTAGACACATCTGATAAAATTGAATCGATGGAGAAAGGATCAGAATCGCATTCCATCCCTAAAGATTCTAAGGGTCCAATACTATCCAGTATCCAATCATTCACTGTAACCAACAAATTGGGATCATGTGTTTTAGTTCCTACGTGAACCCCAAAAAAAGGTTTTATTTAAAGATTCTCTTCAATCATTTCATCATATCAAAATTCAAAACCACATGCAGCACGTAAAGTAAGCACATAATGAAAATCAGTGAAATTGCAAAGTTTTGATGGTCCCAATGACACTGAATTTTGGTTTTCAATTTTTTTCTTTTTTTTCTTTTGATGTTAGGAGGATTAGAAAACAGAAGGGGCTAGATTACAGCATTCTCAATTTGCTTTGTTTTTTGATGCAGTATTGGAGCCAAAAAGGTGAAGAAAGAGTGCACACAATTCCAGGACTACTGCAAAGCAGGAAATGCTGAAGGGTACGTGAACGTAAAAGTTTTCACTGAGCGAACGATAGCATAATTTTCTTTCCGACCCAAAATAATTGTATGAAAAAAAAGTAAGATAGTGATTAAAAAAATTAATCATTAAATTTAACAGTGAGTCTCTCAAAATTCATGATATTTGTGTTGTACAGATGTTTGAGGACCTTACAAGCAGTGAAACAAGAGCACGCAAACCTAAAGAGGAGGCTGGAAGCATATTTTCAGGTAACTTCAATATTATCAAAGAATCATCCATATACATACAGTATATGATTGGGCTGAAGTTTTTCGTTATATTTTAACAGTGCTGTAAAATCCTTTTTATTGCAGTTAACCAGACAAATTTGAAGATGAACAAACAAAGGGATAAAAACAAGTAGTATCAGTATGAGCAAATAACGATACCATGGACAAAAACTACATTCCAACTGTATTTGGAATTTGTTCAGATAATCCTCAGTTGGGCCGTGAGAGTTACAATGCGCGGGATAATCTGAAAGTTTTATAAGTTACTACTTTATTATTAGAATAGAATGAGAGGCATGTAATACATATGTGTAATTGTGTATAGCTAACAAGAAATATTTAAGCAAATATGGTGACCCAATTAATTATAAGCAAGAATGGTTTCATGGTGAATAAATGCATACTACATATTAATTTCTTTTCTGTTTGTGATTCTACCCAACTTAATGGAGGACCAAAAGTGATCAAATTTTAAAGATGATGGTGCAGAAATACAAATTCTCAGAAAAGAACTGATAGACGAGAAAAGTAGAGTAGTTTGGGAATCACTATCAGATGGCCAAGTCAACCTCATTTACAATTAAATATCAATCAGATAATGTTCACAAACTAAACTACCACTAATAATTCATTCATAAAAGGCGGGAATTCAAAAATAAAATATACAATTATATAAGGCGGGAAGCGAACTCAAAATCCGTCGGCACCAGTATTTACTATTGAGACACTGATGATATCAAAATAAGTTAGGAAAAGAGAGTAAAAGCAAAAGGCTGAAGACCCTCTTTAGGGCAGGAAGGCGTGGACTTGATCCTCCTGGTAGGCCAACTCCTCCAATCATGAGTATTTCAAACAAAGCAATCGCTTCCAAAAAAAAAAAAAAAAAGAAATTATTTTATCCAGCTAGATCCATATTTTTTAATACAATAATAAAAAATATGATTAAATTCTCGGCTATGCTATAGTCCTTTTCTGTAGAAGTTTTTTTTTATTTTCGTCCCAAATTTATGGTTTTTAATACCGATTACTATTATGCAGTACTTCCCACAAACACGTCTAACCATATAGTAAGTAATACGCCTGCTTTATTACACTCAGAAATTTCCACGTATAAATAATTTCTCTTTTCTCTGTTCCTTTTGGACGAGAGAGGACCACCACCAATTTACCAACGCAGTGGCAGCTTTCGTGATAGAATTAAAGGGCGACCCAAATTTTTTAACTGATGATGGAGGCCATTCATCCAACAAAAGAAATCAACTGCAATAAGATATCTGTTCCTTCTTTCAATGCTTATCCACTTCCCCAACTGAAATGCTTGGTGCAAAATTTAAGCATACAACAAATACAAGGCAACCGAATTTCACGTAAAAAATTTTCATGCCGCTTTCATGACTTTAGCCTCTTCCGACAGACCGAGACATTAAAACCATTTGACGCTCCAGTAGAGATGGATCATGGAGGGATGATCCATTTGCCGTCGAATTTAATTCGTTTTTCAGAAAATTAGGGGGAGAGGGGGGGAGTTTGCATATACACAAAAAAGATAACTACTAATTGAAATGCCAGTGTATCTCTCTCAAACAGGTACAAGCTTGGAAGTATATACTAACCAGAAATCAACACAAACAGACACCAAATGAATAACTTTAAGAACTATAAATGTAACTCAACATTTTTCAAAGAAAACAGGAAATTTGAATTCCCGGACAAAAGCCACTGCAGTAGAGACACATTGCTTTGAAGGAAATCAAATCCACCCCCCAAAAGAAAAACAAAAATTGAAAAGGAAAATAAATAATCACCTAAGAGCACACATATCTTGATGGAGTATATCTCATGGGATCACGCATAATATACACTTGCAACCAGCCGGAGGACACACAAAAAATTAGGGCACGAAACCAATATCTTTGAAATATTCATGCTCCAGTGCGTTTCTGGCGATGATTCTTTTGCTGGGATCCATGCAAAGCATTTTCTGACATACCGAAATAATCAGTGAATCAGTAACAAGAACGTCATAAGTCTACTACAGTTTTTCTGGTAACAACAATGTAGAAGTTTTGTGAGTACCAACAAAAGGCACAGATGACGAGGGATAGACGGGCAGGAGGGATAGACGGGCAGTAAGAGAAAAAGAGGCCGAAAATATATACAGCAACTTCAAAGTTTAAACAAGTATATAGAATCAACAATGACGAGGAAGTAAAAGGCACAGATGAAAGATCCAACTCATGAGTAAGTAACCTTCATTGGGGCAAGTTACTTTAACCAATTAAACCTGATGAGAGTATATTAACCTATTAAACCTGATAAGAGCATGCAAAACATGACAAGACACTTCATTTTGAAAAATTGTAGAAAATTTCAGTTAAGAACAGAGTTACATAGAACCTTAATACTGGCTGCCTTTATCAGGCAATAGTCAAACACCTGCACGTGATATTAACATACATTCACAAAGACAAAAGGAGGTTTTCTTTGGGGCCCCAATCAACATTCTTGGCAATACAGATAGACAAGCTGCAGCTTTGAGCAAGCACGCCGAAGCATCATTTAGATTATCAAGTACAAAACTCCAGCATAAAAGTAGTTGTGTAAAGATAACTTACTGAAAGGAGATCAAGACCAGCTGCATCAAGGTTGGGCACCACAGTCGCCAGATCCTTCAAGATAAAGCACAAATTAAGGCTCCAACGCATTAAACAAATTTTCTTAGAAGGATAGCATTGGAGTGGGGGTGCAGTGATTTGCAGCGTCCCACCAGAACGCAAAACAAGTGTAAATAGAAGAGATTTATGAGCACCTTGGGAGGCCACTTGGGGAATGCAGACTTGAAGTCAGGCAGAGAGGTCACTCCAGGCCAGGTATTTTCGTTTGGAGTACCCATGACTCTGAATGTATATAAACATTTAATCAATATAAAGCTAATTAAACATGAAATCCTAAGATTCCATTAATCTACAGGCAACCAGAAACTGTGTTGTTCAAGAGAACACATTTTTAAGTGACCAAGCGGTACATGAGAAAAAAAATTCAAAATGTCAAGCGTGTACATAATAGACAGAAAACTAAATGATGATATAATGCGTAGATCCTAAAATTAAAAGAAAAAGTGGTGAACTAGATGTAGCACCTGAATATTTTGAAAAGTTCATCTATTTCAGAGTCACCGGGAAATAGAGGCCGCTGGTTTACCATCTCAGCAAATATGCACCCGACTGACCAAATATCGACTGGAGTAGAATAGTGCCGGCAGCCAAGAAGTATTTCAGGTGCTCTATACCACAGTGTCACAACCTATATAGGATGAAAGAAGGAAAAACTCAATCAAAGCAGAAACATAAATCACATTATACTTAAAGTTGCTGATAAAATGTTGCAATTCTTTTCAGAAAAAAGGAAAATGAATCAGATTTTAGGAACAGGAATTTCCATATTCCTAACTAAGCTTTAACAGTCCAGTACTAACGATGCATTTGTAGAATATCAAATAGTAAACTGACTCAGCGTTCTTCATCATTATATAAAAGTTTGTTTCTGCAAAATTGTCTACTAATACAAAACCACTAAAATTAAATTCTAATATCTTAGAAGTCAGCAAAACAGCTTTAAAGCATGAAAAAACAATGGTGACAGTACCTCATGGGTAAATGTCCTGACAGGAATGCCAAATGCTCTGGCCAATCCAAAATCCGCAAGCTTCAGAGCATTGGTACGCCGATCAATCAGTAAGTTCTGGGGTTTCAAATCTCTATGAAGAACTCGATGAGAATGACAGTATGCGATACCACGAAGGATTTGATACAGAAACGTCTGCAAAAATAAGAATACATATATGATCATAATTATGATGCTGGTGAGATAACTCTATTCATCTTGTGATGCACACAATTGCAACCAGAGTTCACACATAAATTCTAGTAACAGTTGCCTCTACCACAGCCAACGATCTGGGGAAAATTAACATTTAGGACACAAGTTTGCCATATAGTAGAAGTCAGCCTTTAATCAAAGAAAACACATCTAAAGGAAGCAACAAATCCCATAAAGCAACTAGCACGTAGAACAAATTGAATTTCAACCTGGTACAAAACACTATAGCTGTATTAAAGAAACAATACGTCTGACAGGATTCTTCTAAGTTCCGAGCTTCACAGTTTAAAGCTTAACTAGGTTGTATATCTGTGACTCAGAATGAAAGGCTTAAACCAGTACATACAAATCCAACAATGCACTAAAGCAATCACAAGCCTGTTTCCTCAAGAAAAAAGTCAGTTACCACAACATTCATATGAAGAGACTCAATCATCTCACTTTCACAAGGCGTGGGTCCTTCGAGAACTCTGGACAGGAATCCATATGCTTCTTCAGATCCAGGTCCAGGTACTCAAATACAAGATATAATCGCTTCTCGCTGTGCACCACATCCTGCAACCTATTCATAAAAATTGTAAAGACCTTTGAAGCAGCAAGTATGGCACAACAGCATGAATGCTCTACCAATTGCACAATAACAGAAATCAATAAAAACAGGAGTGATAAACTTTTGACTGCAATATACCAATATAGTTAGACAATAAAGATTAGTTGGATTCGAATTTATGTAAGTACATTGTAAATTAAATACATCCAATAACAAGAAAGATCAAATGCCTCAACTGCATCAAACAAAACTTGCTTAGGTATGAAACCCAAGTGTATAAGCAGAGAACAATTGTAATTCTCGGAATGAGAGCAGCAATAACATCTCAAGTGGCAAGAGAACAAATACCGAACACTCTTGCATACTCATGTCACACATTAATGTACTGTAATATACTGCACATTTGTATCAATAGAAAGAGTGCCTACCTAACAATATTCCCATGCTGCATTTCTTTCAACAGAGAAATCTCTCTAATAGCAGTGCTTGGAACACCTTCATCTTCCTGCTCTAGACGGATCTTCTTCAATGCAATAGTTTCATTCGTCACCTTATCACGTGCCTTGTACACCACTCCATATGTTCCTTCACCAATCTTCTCAACCTTTTCATACTGCAATATATTTCCCCAAAATCACAACATTACAACAAGGACACTTACTGAATAAATCATAACTAAGACACCAATATTGTTATACCTGATCCATCTAGTCTCTGTAAATGGACCCACTGCAAGAAAGAACACGAAACAAAAGAATCAATATGCATCAGCAGTGCACATTTCTGAATTGATAATATCCCAAGCACGGGAACAGACACTATTCAGCAAAGATGAAAGTAATTGGACATGAAGAGATCATAAAGAAGAAAAGAATACAATCCATCACACCTTAACTTAGATGACACATTCATTAAGTAGGATTTTATTCATAGATTCCACGCCAGAAAATAATAATGAAAAATGCAACACATTGATTTTTCCCTTTCTTCATGATTTCCATACAGCAGTAATTAATGACAGTATTTGTTATGCATTCTTCACAAATTCCCCCCACTGGAAGAATGAATGACTAAAAAGTAGCAAGTATTTGTCCATTTCTTCATGTTTCGCTAATCAATAATTTCTGAATTATCTAAAATTTCGGAAAATAAGGATAAAACAGAAGACGAGTCAATAACAAATATCAACGATCTATATCCAGTCCGGGGAAAACAAATGCGCAGAAATTGAAAGCATTATTCATGAACTCCAACTATTAAGCTAATCCGATGTCCAGTTAGCACTTCTATCCAACATTTGTCTAGAACAAAATATATCAAAAAAATTATTTAAAAAATCAGAAAAAAGAGATTGAAGTAACAATTTGGCAGATTAAATTGGAATGCCAAAAGAAGAAAAACGAAAATAAAATGATTCTGATATTGGAAACTTACCAGAGAGATCGAAGGAGGAAGAGGAGCAGTGTGTGAGTGTGTGAGTAAAATAAATAAACTACAGAAAAAATACAGCAGTGGCTTGGGCAGGGTTTATAGCACACTGCTTTTAAGACGAGTGAAAAAAAATGTATTCTACTGATTGCTTTATACACACCAGAACATTTTCATTATTTTTGTTTAGGAATTTCCTTTTGCGGAGTGGGGAAAGAGTTAGCGGTCATTGTGTATTTTTTTACGACCCCGGTTGAAAGTTGACCTGACCATGGTTAATTCCGACTAAAGTCAAAAGTCAACACTCAAAAGTAGGAGCAAGTAGATATAAAACTCAATAACAATAATAGTGTATTATCTAATATCTAATTGGAGTGAATGAGAAAAATAATGTCTTGATTAAAACCTTTTATTAGATCTGCATATTTAAGGACAATTTTTTTTTAAAAAAAAATCCAATATTAATCAGAGAAGTCATATTTTAAAAGGAGTAAACATAATTATCAAATGATAAAAGAAAGTTCACAATATGAATCACCTAATCAGAAGTTACTAGCTTATTTTGCAAAATCAAGTATCTTTGATAGTATACATATCTTAGCGTAGCCTGCCCTCCTCCTTATATTAATCAGACCTGGCTGATTTCCAGCACAGCTAATGAAAGTCATTGTTTTTTTCTAAAAAAAAAACCATATGCAACGTATGTCGAGATTTATATTAATGTTTAAACATGTCTTAGAATAATAAATAACAATTGACTAATAAGTTGTTCCTACTTCCTACTAAGGTTTTGTCTTTTTTGGGTCATAGCCCAATAAACCTTTGGTTAATGAAAATGTTTTTTTTATGAAAAAAATTTAAGTTCATGAAGTTTCCTTAAAAATGAGACTATTCGTGTCTTCCCAAATAAAGTAGATAATAACGGAATACTTACTAGGAAAAATACCTTATGGGGCAATGTTGGTTCAACAATAGTCAGCATCGAGGTAATTAAGTTTGACATTGGAAGAATACGGTCCTAGATGCCTAGATGAGTTCATAAATTAGAGTCGCCTTAAATTATTAACCCGCGGGTTCAGGTATAATATTCCAGATAGACAGAGGTATCTTTGTATGTAGATGAAAGTAATTAGGCTATCTATACATTTTCAACTATTTATTCTGTTCTTTTACCATAAAACAAAAGATGAGGGGGTTTTTACGAAAATAAAGGTATACCAAATTCCAAACGCCGTCGTTGAGAAAAGAATTACCCCGGTAAGTGAAACTCCGTCATACTGGCTGAGCTTCCTAGAGGCACCCGCCCAGCTTGGCCGTCGACGTTGCTTTCACGTCCAGTTTCAGTCCTCTGCCTCAAAATCTAAGCATTTCCCCCGTGAATTTTAAACGACGCAACTGAATGCTCTCTCGGCTCTCCCCTCTCCTCCGTACAGTCTCCTCCAACTCACCGTTGGCCGCCGAAACCATGCCGGCGCGTGTTTTCCCAAGCGCCATGGCCGCACATTCCGCGACGGTTTCATTTTCGAACGCCAACACCTCCAAGTATCCGCTCTCGCTTCCTGTCCCTCCTCCGTTTCGTCCTCCTACTTCTTTGCTCTGCCGGGGGTCGTCGTTGTTTGGTCCGGCCGTGTTGAGTTGTAAGGAGGAGAGGAGGCAGTTGTGGAGCGTCGCCCGAGGGTTCGGTAAAGTGTTTGCCTCCTGGAGACAATATCGACAGGGTCGGCGAAAGCCTGTTGCGGCAAAGAAAAAGAAGAGTAAGGAGAGGGAATTGGAGCTCAGTGTGAACATTTGTATAGAAGAGCAGCTGCCCGATGATCCTGAAATTCTGGTATGTTGTTGTTTCAATTCATATGAACAATTTAATTGTAAGTCTCAATGCAACTTCAGGCCGTTGCACGTTATTGCAATTTGAGGTTCTTATTATATACATGCGTTTATTTATGAGCATTTGAGTGCAATGGATGAGAACACTGAGAAGAATGATTACCTGGAAAAAAAAAGAAAAAGGAAAAGGTGAACTTTATCTATTAATGATTTTGGAAATTATATGTGTTAATGGATTATGTTTTCGTGTGAGTTTGAAGTTTTTCATTGTATAACTGCTTTACAATGTTACAGGGTATTGCAGAAATGCTTCGACTTGATGTTCCAATGGCAATGAAGTTAGCATTTGATGGCCTGAAAGATTCCACATATAAAACCAGGGATCCTTCAATCAGCGACGTTGGTGCTTTTAATACCGTTGAATTGTCGGTACTTCTTTGCAACGATGATTTTATTCGCAAACTTAACAAGGATTGGAGAGGCGAGGACCATCCGACTGATGTACTGTCAATGTCTCAACATGTCCCTGAATTACAGCTTCCAATAGTAAGAATTCTCTGGCAGTTTTATGTAGGATTCATCAAAAAGAAAATTTTATGTTTGCCGTTGGACAGTAACCTTCTCTAATTGGCAGCTCTTGTTCGGAGACATTGTAATATCTGTTGAGACAGCTGCAAGGCAAGCTGAGGAGAGGGGTCACTCACTTCATGATGAGATACGAATCTTATTGGTGGGTAAACTTAACAATAATTTAGCGCAAATTGCACGAAATGACTTTGTAGAGGTCAACATTGATATAATCTGCATGATCACCAATACAAAGCTTTAGAAAACAATGACCATTGAGCAGTAAGCTTGACATGTTAGTTAGTGAAAATTAAATGACGTGCGATTTATAGTAAAACTCTTTCTGGTAGAGTCTGATTCTGCCGTTTCTAAATGGAAATCTCCAATCCCTGCAGGTCCATGGGCTGTTGCATCTATTGGGTTTTGATCATGAGATTAGTGATGAGGCAGAAGAAGAAATGGAGAAAGAGGAAGAATTTCTTTTGAAGAGTCTTGAATGGACAGGTAAAGGATTAATTCGGAGTGCTTGTGATGCTGGGTCCGATGAGAATGCTCCCACTAATTATCCTGATGGTAAGATCAGGCGTAATCTGGCTTCTTTTTACCATTTATTTATTTTTGGCTTGTTTATTTTTATCCTATTGAAGTTTATCACTGCTTAAAGATTTGCAGATAAAAACTCATGTTTGCATTCTTAAAAGACAGGAAGAAAGAAGGACGCCTTCGGTTTTACCGACCAAAATATAACTTCATTTTCTGCGACATGGATGGTAAGTTGTATCGTGCCTTTTCACTTCCGTCTGGCATGTGAAATACTATGAGCTACAGTTAAAAAGTTCTTGGATAGTCATTATGTTCTTTTTGATACTTAGGCACTCTGCTCAATAGCAAGAGCCTAATTTCTGCGGCAACAGGAAAAGCTTTGAAAGAGGCCATGTCAAGGGGCGTGAAAGTGATTATAGCTACTGGAAAAGTAAGAAACACAAGATCATGTTCTCTGCTAGTATTTTTCCCTTCTTTTCCCCACCATTGTATTTAATTTACCTTTCCTTTTGTTTTGGGGGCGTAATCTATCATTGATAGACTCGTCCAGCAGTCATTCGTCTTTTGAGGACTGTAGATTTGGCTGGAAAGGATGGTGTCATTTCAGAGTTTTCACCTGGAGTTTTCTTACAGGTACCCTTCCCCCCCCCCCAGTGTTTCATCTGATTTTATTGTCTGGCAGATGCTCTATGGTCTTTTTCGCAAAATGAACATAATTTTCAATAATAAATCCTAAAGGGTTGAAAAAACACCTGAAATATGTATATATGAATTTTGAAATTGCTCGACAGGAAATAGTCTCGTCATTGTCTAATCTGCTTTCTTGCTGTCTAGTAATCAACTGCTTGTGCCCCAAAATGAATAATTCTTATTTCTCCATTGTCTCAAATTGCTTATCCACTTAAGTTTCTCCTATGATGCTATCAAAAAGGTAACTTTTCCCAAGTACCAGTAGACATATTAGTGTATTACAATTCGTAAGTTAATGTGAGGCAGAGGAAGCATCTTTTACATGGAGCTTGTTGCTCTTTCAGTCAGCTCAAACATGTTTTCTGATTGGTTCAGGGCTTGCTTGTGTATGGTAGACAAGGAAGGGAAATATACCGGAGGAACTTAGATTCCAATATCTGCAGAGAGGTAAATTTCTCGTGCACTCTTGCTTTCTCTTTTGTCCACGTCACATTTTTCTGTGAGCACTTGCTTTGATGTTGTCAATGACTGCAATGTGCCTATAATCTAACATGCTATTTGAAGATCAACTATCTTTTGTTTCTTGATTTTTCCACTTGCTATCATAATTTTTTTTTTCAGGCTTGCCTTTTGTACTAGGGTTAGTATTCATGTTTTATTGAATATATGAGCATAACCCTTCTTCTGTTGGTTACAGGCATTTCTATACTCTCAAAAGCATCAAGTTCCCCTTATTGCATTTTCTGAAGATCGATGTCTGACCTTATTTGAGCACCCCCTAGTTGATTCTCTGCACACTGTATATTCTGAGCCAAAGGTGCTGATTTGGATTTTCCATCATGTTTAGTCATTAAGTTGGTGCAATTCTCAAAGTTGACAATGTCTCTTGTCTAAATTTTCCACAGGCAGAGATTATACCTTCAGTTGAGCAAATGCTGGCCACTGCTGAAATACAGGTGATATATCACATACAAGTTTGTCCTTTTCTTGTGCTTGTAAATGATCCTTTAACGGTAATCGCTAACATTGACTTACTAAATCAATTCCTGTTAAATTCGCAGTGGCTTGTGGTTATGGTTCTCTCTCTCTCCCTTAGTAGCATCTCTTGTCATAATGAAGCATAACAAAATTCAAAGTTTCTGCTACACTTAATCATACAACTTGGGTTTCTTCATGACAACTTGGCTTTCGAGAATGATACATCACATATCATTATACTTCTATATTTTCTATTGATGCAAAATCTGACCTATTTTAGCATATGATAACTCTGATGTCTTTCCACCTTGCTATTGGTATATAGTTTAGTAATATGCATACCAGACTACGTGTGTTCCTATAAAATTTTTCTTGTAAACTCTTGTTGCTCATTTGATTTCAGATCTTATTAGAACAGTGTATAATTTTCTATATATGAATCTGCTAAATGAACATCTTATTTGGGTCAAATCTATATGCTGTCAGACCATTTCCTCAATTGATGCTTTTTCATATTATGTTTTCATATATATCATATTGGCATTATCAAGCATTTGGTGATCTGAGGCATTTAGATGTGGCTAACCCGTTATTTAAAATTTTCAGAAACTGATATTTTTAGATACTGCTGAGGGAGTAGCTACTTCTTTGCGTCCATACTGGGCAGAAGCAACCGGAGATCTGGCCTCTGTGGTTCAAGCTGTTCCAGATATGCTAGAAATTGTTCCTTTTGGAACTTCAAAGGGGAATGGAGTTAGAATGCTTCTTGATCATTTGGGTGCTTCTCCCAACGAGGTATTTTTCAAATATTATGGGTCCTTTCATTTCCCTATTTTTGTGTGACATCATCATGAAGCTGGAGTTCTGTTTGGTTACCTGGCCCACGGCCTGAGAGGAGTTTATCATTAACATTTTTTATTTTGTTGGAACTTCATCTTCTCTCGTTGGGTATTTGATCTTCACTTGCTGTACCCATCCTCTCATCAGAGTACTTGGCTACTTGTGTTAGTCTGGTTGTTTGATTAACTTGCCGTAGCCCACCAATGGGTTCACTTTAGATTGCCAGAGATACTGCATATAGAATGTAAAGGCAAATAATTTGTTGTTTTGCAAACTTGAAAAGGGCTTTGTTGGATCAGGAATTGATACTTGCGCCTTGTGTTTGCACTGTCCTCTTCTAGAGAGATTTTGCTGCAATCTCTCGAACTTGAAATGGATAATCGCCTTGATACAGTGAGAATATTAGAAATTAGAAGTCTCCCTTTTGATAAAGAGGCTGTAATGGTTAGCTGGTAGGAGTTGGAGAAGACTGCTAAAATGGATCCTGAAACACATGAATCTTGCTACTGTACAGGTCTAAACATTCTTAAGTTTATAGTTGGTGGGTTGCCCAATATCGCAGATGAATGTTTTCAGCTTTTGGAAAATTCCTTAACATTGTAGAACTAACCATGTATTAAGCTTATATATATTTTAGCAGTGTACTGATGTGTTCCATTGGTTCTCAGGTGATGGCGATCGGTGATGGGGAAAATGATGTTGAGATGCTCAAACTGGCTTCCTTGGGTGTTGCTCTGAGTAACGGATCGGAAAAGGCAAAGGCAGTAGCGGATGTAATAGGTCTGAGCAACGATGAGGACGGCGCAGCTGATGCTATCTACAGATATGCATTTTAAGAGCTCATCTTCAAAAATTTTGTTTGCTTGAGAATGACATTCCCTTCTTATTCGTATGAGAAAGGGCGATTAAGACATTAACTGCATAGATATATTAAACAGACGGATAGCTATACGAGCAAATTTTGAAGCAATGCAAAATTGCATCTCAGCAATTTAAGTGATTGAAATGTAGATTCTCAATTTATACGTCATTTTGATCACATACACTGAACGATATGTGTTGTTGCAAGTGTTATTAAAACGACATGTGTTCTCTGCGAGATAAAAAAATATGAAAGAAAATTGAAATTAGTAATATTAACCTTAGGTAAGGCGCTAGCAACACAAGCAATTGCTGCAGAAAGCAAATTTTAGATTCAGATTCCACGATGAAAATTTTTGTTGCGTTTGAAGAAAGGGTTCAATTTTCATTCCCTCAGGCGATGGATCATTTCTAATTGTGTTCCACAGTTTCTCGCATCTTCATCTTTGAAACCCGAATGCCCCACCACTTTAAATAAATGTTAATTTCCGTGCAAAAATAATGTTGTGCCGTTGAACTGATACCTTTTATACTTGAATTTTACTACTAATACATTACCAGTCCTCCTTTGGACCAATTAAAGGCCCCTTGAATTATTATGCCATTTTACTCCCTGCGAATGGTAGCATTTGCTCATTCTTTGTTCGGTTTATAAGGTTGATCCTTTCCCGAACAGTTGATAGCTCGAAATTTCCAGGATTCAGCTAGATCTAGTTGTTCGACAAAACCACCTTACCATACGTTTAGGATTGTGAGGTGTGACAACTTAAGTTATTACAGATCACACTGCAAGCAAGATAAACACATTGCAGGATAAGCTTATTTCGTCCCCACAACAGGAACATTAGCAGAACATTAAGGTCAGTAAATTCACAGAACTTGTAAGTAGCATGATCTATTGCATAAGGAACCCAAAAACACAGGTTCCTCCTCCAAAAAACTTCAACAAGAAAACTCAGGATGTCATGACTGCACAAAAAACTCAGAGATCCCAACTACAACAGAATCAGTTTCTAAGTTGACTTGTCATATTGAGCATTTCTCCTAGCACACTCCAGGATAGTTTTGTCTGCAGTAATGAAGTATGCCGCAATGGAAGCTGCTCAAGATAATAAATACACAAACATGTCAATACTCTTCGACTAGAAGCCATTCAAATCATTGATATCAAGTAACTAATGGAACTTGTTGCAGTAAGAAATGACCATGCCACCCACTGGAAAAAAAGGTTTCTCCTTACCACCAGATATAATGAGTGCCTGGGCAGTATAGTTGAGATTTGCTTTAGCCCAAGGAATCATACGAACGGCAGCCAACTGAAAAAATTATGTACGAGGGAACTAAAAACTGGTCAGAAATAATGTAAACTACGGCAAAAACCGTTCGGAAGAAGAAAAAGATGATCGTAAACCAATCATAATGTAAGCGACATCTCACAATTATGCCCCACATTCCTATTCAAGTAATGTCTCTCTAGCACACAAACTATTCAAGAAATCAAAAGTGTAACAAAAACATGCATTTAGGTTTTCATATCTTGGTGTGCAGCACTAGAATTGCTCAATATACTTGATGAATTCTACAGGCACAGGAAACCGGACATTCACAAGCACAAAATAACCATTTCCTTGTTACATGACTATCAACTTTTAAGTGATAAGCTAACTACTGTTAAAGGCTGCTTATCCTGTGTCTAAAAGCCATTCATAACATGCTGGTATTTACCACAATGTCATGAATAGTTAAAATTGAAAGGCCCCAAATACAAATTTATGAATAAAAAGTTCGACTCTTCCTGAACCCATACACCAACTCCAGATGGTTGATGACTACTAGGTAGATTAACAAACAAGATTACCGTAGGGATTGCAGAGACCACACCAGCAATAGCAGCTGCCTTGGCACCTTCACGCACACCTTCTGCATACATAAATACCATCCAAATTCAGGCATGATTCCCAACACGACATGATTCACACTACATACCCACAAGACTCAGGAATGCTCATGAAGATTTCTTATTGCGTCGCGAATTGATTTAAAGTAAACAATAAAATACAGAAATCGGGGTAAAAAAACCTGAAAAGTGCTGAAGAAATCATCAGGGCAGTCAAACAAACATTATCAAGTATTCAAGTTATGCGAACTTAATTCAAGGAATGCACTCTTTCCACATTCTCGTACTCCCATCAAAATAATCGTGTTTCTAAGCTACAGAAGGAATACACCATAAGCAGTCATAATATTTCACAATAAACTTCTGAATAAAAATCAATTTTCAGCTTGCCAACGTATCTACGAAAACTGAACCATAAAAGGACCTTTTAGGATTGAATTTCATCTGACAACTAAAAGCCAACATCTAATATTGAATTAACCCTCTCAACCTTCTCTTTTATAAGTAAAAACCTGCTTAGATTATCATCAGGAAGACTAATGTTTACCCATATCCCACCCCATAGATTAGATGACTATAATAGAGTTTGTACCAGCTGACAAGAGACCTCTCACTGGAAAACACATTAATCACCAAAAATTTTCTTCACAGCTCATTTGATGAACAAATTTGACACCATGCGCGCTTATGTTTCTTTTAAAAGAAGGGAAATAAAAACAATATCTATCGCACAACAAACGACATCTAAAAAAGAGATATCACGAAACATTTTTTCTGTTCTTAGGGGCAAAAAGAAAAGGATAATTCCTGCTCTGCTTCTGCCTATAGCTGACAGGAATTATCAAGAACCAATCCAAGGAATAACAGGAAAAAAAAGAGGGGGTCAGATTTTATGGAACCTTGGGTGCATTCTCTTGATCGGCGGATCCTTTCTTCTTCGAGTGGAGAAGCGATCCAGAAAGACTCCGTTTTCTGCTTGTCTGCCCAAGCATTTCTCAACCAACATGAACTTCCCATATCGCAAAATTTTCCTTCTTTCCTCCCCTCTTGGACCTGATATTCTGATTTTACTTCGTCCTTCGAAAGTGTATATAACACTTGAGAATTATTGAAACCGCTATATTATAAAGTAGACAAATTTGATTTGGATTTCGGTTATTGTGAGTTGAATTGAACCCGCAAAAGAATCAATAATCAATAATGTCCTGCCAATAGCGCTCGAAAAATAAATCTCACTGTTTTTAGCAAAATTAGTCCTTGCTTTTTGTAATGTGTCAATTTTGAAGTCTCCAGTTTCAACAGTCTTGTCTAATTCGTAATCTTGATGTTTTTTTAATTTATTTGGCTTTTTTCAACTTCCAAAAGTTTTTCTTTTTTTAAAAAAATTAATAATAATAATAATAATAATAATAATAAATTTGTACAAATGCCCAATAAAAACACCTTACTCTGATCGCTTATTCAAATTCTCCTTGATAGAATGAATCATAGACGTGATTGAGAAGTCCTAAAATTGTAGCCATTCAGATGAATTCATGAGATAAGCTTTCTTTTATAGGGGTATTGTTTATTTTTAAACTTGATTTTGCAAGATGATTCAAATAGACAATAGGTTATGATAATTTGTATTGTTCCACAACGATTTAATATAACGACCCTCAGGTATTCTTTAACTTTCTTTTTGTTGCTGCAAGCCTGCATTTACAACTTCTTTAAATCCAATCGTTCCCAGATGATAGATTTATATTCTAAAACATCCTCTTAAAGCATCGTCAATCCAACAGGACATTCTGAGAGTAATTAGATCATGTCTAAATTCATTTGCAATGGACATTGACCAAGTTCACTATCATCGGTACCCCGTATCATGTCTAGTTTCAATTTTGTTTTCCAAGTATAAGAAACGCATACATAGAATCGCCTAGTCCTCGTTGAGAGGTCCTCTACCAGTTCTGGCCGCAAAAACCTAAGAAGGAGAGGATCCCATGGCATCCAACCGGAGAGAGGATACCAATCAATCAGGGGAAATTACAACTACACTAAAAGCTTTTCCTAAAACAAAACAAGTGGCAATCGGACAGCCAAAATATAGCAAACCAATCCCTTCCATTTAGGTATAAATAGCATTATCCATTTCAAAAAGAACGGAGAAAATCAGCTTTATCACCAGACAAAATAAAATACAATGATTAAGATAGTTAAATAGTACAAGAAAATACTACGTCCTTCACTTTCAACTTTGAGGCACACACAAACTTTGTCCATGAGAAGGCCAATATTTATACCTGCAAAGTTTCAATTCCAGGTTAAAACTATACACAACAACATCCAAACAGAAACATGAATGGGAGTCAACATACCGACAAACTCAATAGCCCTGGTCAACAAGATAATCGCCCAACCTCTCCACAATCATGTTGCACTGACCAGGAGTCATGGGTTCAGCATAGATTCCAATGATCAAAGCCATGCCGGTCTTCTTAATGGTTATACCACCTGGTCCCTGAAAATTTAATTCAATGAAGTCAATCTAGGAAGAGATACCATGATCCAAGCACATGCAGCAATATTTTTAAAATCAACAAATGAAAACCCTCATCACCATCATCTTTGACAATCTACTTCCCTGAGTTAGAATTTAGCAATGTAAACTCAAAGCATACATAATAACAGATCATCTGAATTTCAAATTCATTACAAAGAAGAACATTCAGAATTGACATCATCAAAGGAATGCATTGCAGTAGTATCTTCTCGTAAACCAATTTTGAAATGACCCATCAGCTTTCATCAGAGAAAGAAAACGAAAGAGCCAAGTGACTAGTATTCAAAATAAACATTTTGGTTCAATAAATAGTTTAGGTACATTTCGGACAACTTAACTCCCCCAACTGCACACGATTCCTATTATCATATAACGTCACTACAGTGCACAATCCAAGTTCAAAATGGTCAAAAAATATCATCAGCAAATTTCAGTGTCTACCCTAGTCCACAGCAAACTGTCATATATATTATTCATCGCTGCAAAAGAATCCGAGCTCAGCTGGCATTTACTTGATGTCCAGTGGTGCACCAACATCAAGAGACTACAGTACATCTAACACATGTCTTTCCATTACTTCGAACAGCCCCAATTAGAGCATAAAAAAAATTCATAGCTTTTCTTTTCATCTTCAAATGCCAATTTCACGCAAATGAATATTCTGTAATCTTTCGAAATCACAACAGGCATCAGAAATTTCCAAATTACTAAATGCATCCTAGTTCCTTTCCCTGATAATACCATCTACAATCCCGTGCATTTTATCCCACCAATACGCCCGTTCATGATTAATATTTTCCGCAAAGACAAGAACAACATCAAATACAAACATTGAGCTATAAGCACATAAGGGAGTAAAACATTACAGAACCCCTAGTTTACAAGTAGCGTTACGATAACTGGTATATTAAACAAGTCACATCCAACAATTACCTTCTTCCCCCGAATAACAGTCCCTGGTTCTCCTTGAATAACCATGTATTTGGTCCCACCAACGTACAATCCAGTTGGAGCAAGGGTTCCAGGCTCCTCAAAATCCTTCATAATCCCATTTACTTCTTCAGGTTTAACCTGCAACGATCAGAAAGCAAGATTGCCAGATGTCAGCTACACCAATTTACAAATCTAACTCGCACATATCAAAGTTTCTCATTTACAAAAAGGAAAAGAAAAAGGAACCATCTCAGATGATACATGCAGATTGCAATGCACTGAGATTCTGAAAATCATACTAAAATGACGATGTCAACTAGTAAATCAAGAAAAAGGCACTCGATCAATTATTTTTTCAATAACATCCATCTTTATGCATACATGGTAGACCAGACCCTCTAAAAAGAGAGTTTCAACAACAATCCAAAAAGCTTTCTGTCGGCAGTTATCATAGCCACACAAAATCATAAGTTGAGAAATCTCTCATAGCCTAAAGTATGTGCAATAAACAGAAATCCAACTTCTATGGTCTGTCACAGAGATCCAAAACTAACATCGAGGCTCAATCTCAAGTTATTTAACCCAAAAGAGACTAAAGGAAGACCGTGCAAATCAAAAAGAGTAGATGTCATCATCCAATACTGATACCACGACTACCCCAGAAGTCGATCTAGGGTCTGCAACCCGTTCATGCTCGATGTAATCGGTAAAATAAAATTAAAAAAATTAAAAGTAAAAAAGTCCACCGTCAAAAGATCACCGATTAAAAATCTCATAGTATCAGTAGAGACTAAAACCCCCCAAATCTAAATGACTGGATCAGAAGCAGATTAGAAAAAAAAAAAAAAAAAAATCAGTCCAAGACAGTAAAATCAAGTCAAAGACACAAATCCGAAAAATCCGAATTCCAGTGCGAGAGAAAAAAATAAAAATCAATTATCAACAACAAATCAAAGCAAAAGTCCAGAAAAAGCTTGACCTGAGGGAAAGCAGGGCTCTGAGCCCAAACAGAGCCGTCCTGACCGAGGATACCAGCAGAAGTGAGGAAATTACCCTCGATCTCGCACATCAAGTGATCATCGACATAGACTTGCCACGACATCTTTCTTCCTCTGCAACTAGATTAGAGTTCCTGGAGAATTCCTTTTTGAATTGAGTTTTAGGTCTTCTTCTTCTTGGTGAGCGTGAGATGAAGATGAAATGAATGAAGAGAGTGGTTTAATGGAGAGAAAATGGGGTTGCGTCGAATTTAAGCTTTTATTTTTATGTGCGGCAATGATGCGCGATGGATGGGGGGCGATGAATAATAATGATGATGATGATGACCCCCCGGCCTGTACGGTCGCTGTATTCTGAAGTGTCGTATGGAGTATTTTTACTTTTTTTTTTTGGGCAAACTACATTCCCCCCCCCCCAGTTTTGCCCTCTAACAAAATACCCCCTAAATTTTGCTAATACTACAATTTCTCCCTTTGACAGGGTTAAAAATCGGGTCAATGCCGGGAGCTTTTGAAATGACCAAAAAAAACATTTATTTTTATTCGGCCAGAAAAAAAAACTTTGAAAAAAAAAAAAACTGATATTAGAAAAACTATAATGCCATATTGACTTCTCTTTTAGAAAAAAAAACCTTTACTTTTTTTTTTATTTTTTGCCGGCCAACAGATTCAATGACATCGTCGGGAGACTTTCAATTTGAGGTTTGGGAGGGGGGGTGGCAGTGGCGGGATTCAAGATGGAAATGCAATTGGGAATATTAAAATAATATATTAATGGGGTCATATTTGAATAATTATTTTGCTGATATCAACAAGTTATGTCCTGTTTTCGGTAAGCAAGGGGTGATCGGTAAGTTGACTGTGGGTCAAGGGAAAAATTTGTAGTATTAGCAAAATTTGGAGGGTATTTTGTTAGAGGGCCAAAACTCGGGGGGGAAATGTAGTTTGTCCTTTTTTAAAAAATGTTTTGTTAAATTTACAAACTTCCCTCAGAACTTTTCATTCATAACCTCAAATGAAGCTAACAAAAGTTGATAACATAATTGTGACTTGTGAAAGCTCGTAATGCTAATGTATTCAAATCAATTGTGTTGACTGTTGAGAGGGTTCATTCTTATTGTGTGAAATCTTAGGTTATGTTTGTTTGGTTTTTTAGTTGTGCGTGTTTTAAGTGCTTTTTGTATTGGGAATGTAGAAAGGTGTATTGGAAATGTAAAAAGGTATGTTGGGATGAAACAATTATTATTTTATTAATCTAAAAAAACCATTAAAAAAAGTAAGCTTTGTTTGTTTCTTTTTTTTTTATTGTGTTTTTAAATTAGATTATTATTAACTGTCCCATCCCAGCATATCTTTTTACATTTTCAATATACATTTTTTACATTTTCAATACAAAAAACACTTAAAAACGCACACTAAAAAAACGAAACAAACAAACCCTTATATTCATTCTGTTTTAAAATAGTAGTATCCATATCGTGTATGTTAAAATTAAATAGTTCGTGACATAATAAAATCGATTTTCTTACTTCTGTTGAAGATAAATTTTTTTTTTTTTGTTAATAATGAATCATATGATGGTAAGAAAAAAAAAAGAACAAAAACATAACAAAACAGTTGCTAAAAGAAGTTTTATTTTCTTTTGTATACATAATAATAATTGTCCGAGTCACATTCGCAAGTATGAATCTCAATCGATATTGCCAAAAATGGTAGTATGTCTTTAGTTTATTTTGAACTCATTAAGATCAACAAATACTTTAACACATTTAAATAGCATATCAAAATTTATCGAAGCGTTTTAAACTACTAACTATATTTTATTTTTTTTATTTAGTTTTTTTCTGTTGTGCCAGAGATTTGTCGAGACATGTTTTTATAATTGATAATAAATTTCAATTTATATATTAACTAATAGCTATTATCATTGTCGGATGGCGATTGACATATAAAAAGTTAATCAAATTTCAATCAGTATATGTAAGTACGTAACTGTTACGTGTATTAAAACTATAAAAGTTTTAATTTATGATGAGGGTACAGTGTCTACAAATGATCTCGAAACCAACACAATTAACCGAACAAATTTTGAGAGACCAAAAACACCTTGTCATGATCGGAGGTTGCGAACTTGATAATTTTGTGTTGGAAATCAACGTTTCTGTGATAGTTGAGGGAGTTATTTGCAAATCTTATAATCAAAGAAATCAGACTCTGAGAAAAGGCAGAATATCTAGTGGGGTTGGACGTGCGTGTCTGAAAATCTGTAAATGGCTGTGATGTCACGTTGTTGTTCATCGTGGATCCCACGTGGCCACTCTAAAGGGGTAGATCTTCTCCTTATTATATTACTTTTCTCGTTATATTGATCTCCAAATCTCCATGTTTTTGCTTTTTGTAAAGGTGATTTGGAAATAAAATTGTAGAGATGGTGTGATGTTTGGATCGTTTTTCAAATGTGTTTTTTTTTAATTGGAAATATAAAAAGATATATTAGAAATGTAAAAAAAATATGTTGTAATAGGATAAATGTTAATTAAAAATTCTAAAAAAACCAATGCAAAAACGAACCAAACAGAATTATTAAAGTCTCAAGAATCAAAGTAAAAATCTTTTGCCTCCAGTTTATATATTCTTTATCTCAAAATTATTTCAAAGCTAGTATTCACTTGAATTTTTATTTTTGATAATTTAAAGTCGATGTCGATGACAAAATAAATGACTATCTTTGGAATTTTGTATAGGTAGCTATGCATTTCTCACCTGCACAAAATGTGAAGCAGAGTTAATTTTTTTATTTTTAATACATGAAATTAGTTTAGAAGATAAAAAATTTTCTATGACACTTTAGTATCACTCTCGTCTCTTGGTGTGACATTAAATCCAAAAAAAAAAAAAACATTGACGCGTATTAATTATTTTCACACTTAATAATTTTTGTAATAGTGTCATTTGGAATATAACATAAAATATCACATAAAGTACATTGTCAAGCCCAACAGCTTAATCCAATTAAAATGTCCAAACGGCTTATTGGGACAGGTCGGACATTCTTTTGCTTTGGGTTGTTGCGGAATAAAGTGGATTACCTTCTATAGGTTAGGGGTCCAAGCCTCTAAATTCCAACACCCATTGCCCAAAAATTTAGAAGACCATGTTATTCAGGTGCATAGTAGCAAATTACTCGTTGGCTTGCCATTATGAAAAGTGTTACTAGTAATCAACTAAAAATAGTTTTATTACCGAAGAATGATGTAGAAGAACTCATTTGAGCCCCCACACATGTATATACATAATCCTGGGTCGAGAGTCTGAAACCCGGAATGATATTGACGAGTCATAAATAAACTTTAACCCTAATGGGTTTGGGCCGGCTATCTTAGAAGCTAAATCACCACTTAAACCTATTACGACTAGGTTTAATAAAACAAGTAACACCACCTTTATATAAAGAGATGGTGCTTCTCCTTATAACACCTTCTACCTTTCTCTATTCTCTCTATTCTCTTTATTCTTTTATTGACTTAAGCATCAGAGAGTCTACCCTCGGGAAACACTCGAAGCTATGTTCTGAAGATTTTAGGCCATCCACCGCCGCCTAGATCATCATCGCCGCCCGTCCTAAGGCACCGTGCAAATCCAGGTTTCATCAAGTGGCACGGCCAGTGGGACCGATTTGTTTGGTCTTCACAACCAAATAAATTTTTTGAAGCGAAGTTGGAATTTGTTGGTGCTTTACGCTGCGCAACACCACCAGCATCATGGCGCAAGAAAACAACAAACAATTGTTACTGCCGCTGAAAAAACAAGCAGGCAACTCCGGTGAAATCATTCTCTAACAGTCCGTCTAGTGGTTTGTTTGATCAAAACTTCACGGAGGCCTTTTTCAAATTTCAACCTACCTTATTCAACAAGTTTCAAGATTTTGTGAAGAGTTTTCATGAACTCGACAGCAACCAGCGACAGCTCTTGGTCGATAATTTGGGTATCTTCTCGAAAGAGGGCGAGCCAATCTCTAGGGGCATCTCTCGAGGACATCAACATGTAACTCGAAAAGAAACTCATCCCTCTCGAGTAAACGTACCACCACCCCGAGTATCCTTAGTCATCGATGAGCAACTGCACAAGGTTCTCGGATCCGAAGAGGAAGATGACAGTCCATTCATCTAACGCATCCGAGAAAGACCCATGCCCGAGAAGTTTGAATTTCCAGATTTGAAGGCTTATGGGGGTGATACGGATCCTATGGTATTCTTGCAGACTTATAAGAGTGCCATGAAATTAAGGAAAGCTTCCAATGATTTCATGTGCAAGGCGTTCCCTACATACATTACGAGAAAAGCACAACTTTGGTTTGGAACACTACCTTCGAGAAGTATTCAGTCGTTTTACGAGTTGGGGACCTTGTTCCATACAAGATTCTTTCAAGGCAAGAAGATTCGCAAGACGATCACTGAATTGATGTCACCCAAGCAAGAATGACAAGAATCTATTGGAAATTATTATGATCGTTTCACCAAAGAACAACTTCAAGTGGAAGGAGTTTCCGAGGAGACAATCATCGCAGTATTCACTAATGGCCTTTACCCATATGGGGCATCCGCGACCTTACGATAAAAATTGACAAAAGAATCATCGGTTACACTGCAACAACTCTCAATTATTGAAACTGAAATTCGAGCAGAAAAAGATTTACGTCGAGCACGAGATAGCCTGCACTATTATGAGAAGAGGTCGCTCGAGAACAAGGCTAAAGGCCTAGGGGCAGATCGTGACCGAAAACTAGATAAAAATCACAATCGAGATCGAGAAAGAGGCCATAACCAAGCAAAGTGGAAGGCAGATGCTTATACGCCTTTAATTTGTCCTCGACCTGGAATTCTAGAGGTCCATAAGCATGAGTTAAAAGTGCCACGTCCCATGTCAACAGATCCAAGCAAGCGTCCAAGACACTTATGGTGTTCTTTCCATAAAGATTATGGGCATGACACGAAAATTGCTATGAACTAAATAAACAAATCAAGGAGGGGCTCGAGAAGGGAAAATTCCGAGAGTATGTGACAAATCAAGACAACCTCTCAAGGAAATTCCAGGTTAACCTCACGTTTTATTTAAGATGCCATAAAGACTCCTCGAGATTTCCTCAAATAAGTATGCATCTTGCTTCCATGTTCTATTTAAATAATTTAGCACATCGATGCTTCGATTTAGAATATTACTAAAAATCTTTTACTGTTTAGCTTTGACTTATCTTCAATAAATATACTATTATATTATGTTGCATTTTTTGAGTGAAATTGCATATCAATGAAAGACCCGCTAGACGGGCACCGCGTTTAAATAAGACCTGCTTGAAGGGCACGACTCACAAAAACCTGCAATACGGGCAACGGCCAAATAAGACCTACTAGATGGGCACAGCCACAAGACCTGCACGACAGGCAAATATGACTTCTCACCTTCAAATAAGAGAGTGCATGCTTCTCACCTTCAAATAAAAGAATACAGGCTTCCACCTCCTAATCAAGAACTCATTAACATAAGATCTCCTCGAGGCATTCTACTCTCTTTATCTTATATAGGTGACACCCGAGAACAAAAGAGTTTGAGAACTGGAGCAACACCACGAAACTCGAGGAGACATCAACACTCGTAGCAATCCATATTCTTCTCATCAAGTCTCGAGAATATGGCTTCCTAGGGGCACTTGAGGCGTCATAAATAGACCCTGACCTAAATGGGTTTGGACCGGCTACCTTGGAGGCTAAGTCACCGCTTAAACCTATTACGACTAGGTTTAAGGAAACATGTAACACCACCTCTATATAAAGAGGTGGTGCCTCTCCCATAATTGACATCTTCTACCTATCTTCTACACCTTCTAGGCACGATACACATACCTCTCTCTATTCTCTTTATTCTTTTATTGACTTAAGAATCGGAGAGTCTAACTTCGGGAGACACTCGGGGCTCTGTTTTGCAAGTTTTAGGCCGTCCACCGCCGCCTAAATCATCATCGCCGCCCGTCTTAAGACATCGTACAAATTTAGGCTTTGTCAGATATAGAGAGACAATAAAATGCTATATTTTCAAAGAAAAAGAAAGGCACAAATATGACCAAATTTTACTCCCTAAATTTTACATTCACTGGAAGTAAGAAGAAAGTTTGTTGGCGTAGTTCAAAGAGACGATTAAACGGAAACACAAAGGCAGACAACACTTTTAAATTACTTAATAGGCCATTGGAAAATAGATGAAGCATGAAAAGAAAACTACATAAATCAAAAAATCACCTCATCAAATAAGGGATACATGAACAAAATACATATGCAATTGACATATAACCGTACCAGTTGAGCCTTAGTTATATGTTGTTACCTTTTGGCAATGAGCATCAAATGCTATTTTCTGCTAAAAATGAAATAGAATAAAAGTTATGGTCGTAGAAAAACGAAATTTCCAGTTTTTAATTACATTATTGATCATGCGATGCTACATTATTTTCCCCTGTAAAAGGAAAAAAAAAAAGAAAAAAAATAAAAAACCGATACATCAGTTCACATCAGCAAACCTTAAAAACAAAGGAAAAATAAAAATGGTCAACGGGATCGAATCGTCGAAGAAACATTTAGTAGGAGTCGGACGAAGCCACGCGTCGTGGCTTGGAACATAAGCTGGAATAACTCATCGTCGACTGCCACGATGGCGCCCCGCCACCTGTTTCCAAAAACCACCGGCGGCCCCAAAATTATGACGGGTTAATTTTGCCCTTTTTTACAAAATACATTTTCATACTTTTTTTTTCCCATGTCCTTTTCACATTCCTTTCCACTACTGTCTTCAGTCTTCGGGATCGGGAAAAAAAAAATCAACTCTCATTAATCAAAAGATTAAGCGAATTGGTTTTGCATTGGTCCAACTCCCACTTTTTACTTTTTCTTCGTGGACAAGTATAAATACGTGGGAATAATACGTTTAGCCTTTCTAATGTTTTTTTATTGCAATGATGCAATCACCAAAACCGTGCATTTCTAATAATCAAATAGTGTAACTTTTTAAAGACTTCCTAGAACATGATGTCTTTAAAAATGCTAATTAATTACTTTTTTTTCTTTTGCTTATTTATAAAAACATATGGAGAAAGTAATACAATAAACACCTAAACACACGTAATGAAAAACCGATCCAAACATAAAATTTAATAAATACCAAGTCTATCTACTCAATTTGGAAATAAGAATTTTCAAGTGAATTGAAAAAAAAGAAGATAAAGGGAAAAAATCAAACTGTAATATAATTAATTACCCTTTTCTGTCCGAATATGATCCACAACCTAGAAGGATGACACACAAAAAAAGGAAAAGAGATTAGTATCACATCAGGTTACTAAATTTTACGTATTATTCTAGTTTATCCAATTTTTTTATGTGCCCGAAGCCAAAGTTACCCAAACAAAATGGAACCAAAAAAAGAATTGTTACGGACCTTATGGTTCTATTCGTTTTTTTTTTATTTGCTTTTTTTTTTTTTGTTTTTGTGTGTGTGATGCAAAAACTGGCATTAAAAAAAATAAAACTAGCAGTAGTAGTTTTTTTTTTTCTTTTGGTTTAAAAAATTGAATCAGTGTTTATCATTTTTGTTGTTGTTTTACATACTACTAGTATTTTATATATATATATATATATATATATTTGGGTCATAGTTGTGTATTACTCCATCCATTTCAAAATTTAAGTTGTTAGTCTTGGCACGTATACTAAGGAAACAATTATCTAACAATTAATTTATGTATTAAATATTTATTTTACTCCTGGTTAATTACATTAGAACTATAAACAAAACTAAATTAAAATAAATTGGTATCATTTATTGAGGATAAAATTGAAAAAATAGTTATTAATTTGCCTATAATTTGTAAAACGACCTACATTTTGACAAATTTCTCCAAACCTAAAACTAGCTCCAAATTGAAATGGAGGGGGTAGAAATCAAAGTAGAAGAGTAAAATTAATCCAGACATCGACGTCGACACAGAATCTCTCTCAACTCCCAGTGTCAACAAGAATCTTCTCTTTTTTACTTTTTCCATTTTTCTTTTTTGTTAGTATTAAACATCGCCATCTCGATTTTTCTTCATCTTCCTTTCATTAGAGTTAGTTAGCACACAGTTTCAAAAACTCCGTGAATCTAGCTCAAGAAGCGGCAACTCCACCGTTGGGATACGAATTCCGATCACGACCTATAACGACGCCGACGCAATTTCTGTTATCAACTATTCCTTCGGAGACTGATCTTTTTTACTGCTATTTATATTGCGCCGCGGCATGGGGTCGGAAAACAACAGCAGCGACGACATTGGTTTCATGATGAAGGTGATTGAAGGTCCCGGCGATTACGTTCTCCAAGATGTCCCTCACATCACCGACTACATCTCCGATCTCCCGGTGCGTTTATTCTCTCTCTTTCTGGCTGGATTTTTTTTTTTTAATTTTTTTAAAGTTTAATTCGTATACTGTGCATTGCAGCCGCAATTCAGCTCGCTTATCGGATCACACTGTATTACATCACTCTCCGTGTTACTCTTTGCAATTGCTTAGATATTGTCCGTTATTAGGCTTTTCTGATGTCAAATGATTAAATTGCGAAATTCAACCAGCCTTTTGTAGTTTATGCTAAATAAACCAACTCGATTGTTGCCAGGGCAGTGATTATTTCTCCTGGAAATTATTAAGATTCTTACTTGTGGTTGAGATGCTTCCGTTATTTCCTCTTTAGATTCGCACAATTGTCCTCAAATTACTTGCAAAAGACAGAGAGAAGAAAATGTTGGTAATTTGGTAAATGCCAAAAGATGTAATAATATTATATTCTAATCCATCATTTTGATGCCTTAACAAGCATTTGAGAGTCAGATGCCAATATGGTGCATGCTAACTGGTTTTTGGAGATTCTTAGCACTAAATCGACCCTTAATTTTGTTTGGTTTTGGCCCCTTTTTTGTTATTTGGAGTTTTCCTTATTGGTACTTTCTTTCTCTTTCAGACTTATCCTAATCCGTTGAGGTTCAATCCTGCATATTCAGTTGTCAAGTGAGTCGGCTTAATGTTGCTTGGAGCTTATATTCTTTTCAGTGCCTTTGATCTTTTCTTTGAACTGTAATTGAATAATTTGTTGTGTGTGGTTTGGTATTGCAGGCAGTACTTTGTTGATATGGAGGACACTGTGCCACAGAAGGTGAGCTCTTAATTTGATGTCTATTTTGGCCTCTGAATAACAACTAAGCATTTATCTTATCCCTGTCATTCCTCCATGCAATGCACACTGAATGATTCATATCCAGTCGTTGCATTCCATCATAACCATAGTTTGTTTTTAACTATATTTCTGTTTTGCTCAATGGTTCCATTTTAAGTTTACTTAGGTGTTTCCCTGCCTGTTTCAATTCGAGTTTGATAATCCATATTTACTATATTCTGTGTTTATTCAAAAGTCTCCTGCACACTTGTTCAAAACATTTTAAGCATTGGCTTCAAAAGATTCCCCACTGTTTTTCTCTTAAATTTTGTAAGGTTTGCTTATCCAGCACTCCCTTCACAGTTGAGCATCATCCACAGTGTTTTGAATTTCTTCATTTGGTCAAATCAGTCTTAACTTTTCTATTCTGCCACACATCTGAAGGGATTTGGTACTCAAGGATCCTCCAAACAAGCCTTTATTGTGAACTTCTATGTTTCTTCCCATTCTCCTCTTGCATCCACTTATTTTAATGGCTGAATAGTTTTAAACCTCATGAAAATTTCTGCAATGAGATATAGCTCATTAGGAGCAACTGCCTCAAAACCCTCATTACTCGATAACAGATGTGTGGGTGGACTGTAGAGATGCTTTGGAGATAGTAAGGGTGGGGGGATTGTAATCTCGAGAACCGTTGCTCGAACCTCAAGGACTGCAGTCTTACAAAAGAAAGAAATTTGATTTTTTGATTGTACTTTTGTACGAGCTCATAATTTCAAATGGGCATTTGTAGTAGTATTTGGAGACTTAAAGGCTTCTTTGGTCTTTGTAAATGGTGACATCTCTGCTGTCTATTGTAGGTAGTTATTCATAAGGATGGGCCCAGGGGAATACATTTTCGACGTGCTGGACCACGCCAGAAGGTGTAGCTTCTTCACTGTATCTGTGATAATTAATTGAAAAAAGTTCATACTCTGTTTTGACGTCGGCCTCATTCCTCAGGTGTATTTTAAATCAGATGAGGTCTCTGCTTGTATCGTGACGTGTGGCGGTTTATGTCCCGGACTAAACACAGTAATCAGGGAAATTGTTCACAGTCTTGATTATATGTACAATGTCAACAAAGTACTTGGAATTGATGTAAGCTGACTTACTTTTTAAGTTAATGGGTACAGCAGCTTTTATTTTATTGTGGTATTAAAAAAAAAGTCTTTAAAGCTCTTTTTAATTGATGAACTGTAATCTTCAAGTTTTATGTTTCCTAATAAAATGATTTACTTGCGATCGGAGTTTATCTGTTCATGTGCCCAGACTACTCTTTGGGCATTATCATTAGTTTAAGATGTTGCTTTGATTCAATGAACCCCTATTGGGTATCTATCAGACTAGCATGTCTATTCTCCTTCTGGGCTTCTACCTCAGTTTAAAATAAATTATTCCATTTTAGGCTTTAAACTTGAATATTAAAATATTGCAACATTGCTGTCGGCAGTTTTTCCACTTACTTACTTGAGCAGTGTGATGGAATTGAACATTTGTGTGTTCTATTTTTCTGTGCACTTCTTGGTGGGCAGTTGTAAGTTGTAACTTTTTTTTTTTTTTTTTTTTTGTGTTGTAAGTTGTAACTTAACAACTGATATGTTGCTGCTTTAATTAAGAAGGTTTTGAACTCTATGATTGCGTGGAAAGAAAAAAGAAAAATTTAGTGACATGACATTTGTTACTGGAACAGAATGGGCGTAGTCATAAATTTAAATTTCTATGTTTTGGTTGCCTCGATTTGTTTGTTCAATTTTGCATTCTTTTCTGGTAGGGAGGTTACCGCGGATTCTATGCGAAGAATACCATTACCCTAACTCCTAAGACTGTGAATGACATACACAAACGTGGCGGTACAGTTATTGGGACATCTCGTGGTGGCCATGACACCTTAAAGATAGTCGACAGCATCCAGGACCGTGGAATCAATCAGGTTGGGTAGATTTGATCCATCAAAAGAAGAATATGGCCTTGTAAATCTCCTCTGTTCAGTGCTAATGTAAATTATGACCAGGTTTATATAATAGGAGGCGATGGTACTCAGAAAGGAGCAGCTGCAATTTACAAGGTTTGCCTCCCCTAAACGTATTAAGCAGTTTTACTGTGATGTCCTGCAAAAGTAGGTCAATGAGGAGCAGTTCCCTCAAAGGGCGTTCCAATTGCCTGCTTGGAAGACACTCCTTTCATTCATTGATAATAAGAAACCTAATAGGAGTTGATGTTTTTCTCATGTGTGTGATATCTCTTTTGAATAATGCAGGAAATTAGACGGCGTGGTCTAAAAGTTGCTGTGGCAGGGGTCCCCAAAACTATTGATAATGACATTCCGGTAATGTCAAATTTAACGGAATGTTGGTATTTTCTGCTTATCTAGATACCCTGTCAAATGAGTGTGATGAGGAAAACGTGAAAAATCTTTGTTGTTTTGTTGGTTGTGAGACTTTCTGTTTATTATCTGTGAGCATTATAAGCCAGTTTTTGGGAAAATACAAGAATATAGTCATCTGCTTGGCATATAATAAACACTTTATGATTTTATTGAATTAGTTTCTGCTGTGCTAATGTTGCTTTGGCTTGTGTTCTCAGGTCATTGACAAGTCATTTGGATTTGATACGGCTGTTGAAGAAGCTCAACGTGCCATCAATGCTGCTCATGTTGAAGCTGAAAGTGCAGAGAATGGTATTGGTGTGGTGAAGCTGATGGGTCGATACTGTGGTAAGCTTTCCATCTGTAACCTCAACTCCAGTTTTCTCCATAACCAAGTGGTGGGTTTTCGAGATGAGTATTCTCCTGTTAACTATTATAGTATCTGCATAGGATTCATCGCAATGTATGCCACTCTTGCCAGCCGAGATGTTGATTGCTGTTTGATTCCGGAGTCACCCTTCTTCCTTGAAGGGCCTGGCGGGCTTTTTGAATTCATTGAGAAACGGCTAAAAGAAAATGGACATATGGTGATAGTGATTGCTGAAGGTGCAGGTCAAGAACTACTTTCAGAGAGCATGCATGCCAAAAATGAAAAGGATGCTTCAGGAAACAAGTTACTCCAAGATGTAGGGTTATGGATTTCTCAGAAAATTAAGGTACAAATCTTGCTTTTCCCTTCCCTCCCCATAGGTGTATCTCAATCTACCCTGTCACAGCTATAAGTAGTTTTGTAGTATTTTTGTTCCAGTATTTTCTGGTGTTTGCTCATCATTCGGACATGTGGCTCAAAAGCTGTATATAGGCAACTGATGACTTTTCTTTTGTAGGATCATTTTGCTCAGCCAAACAAACTTGCTATTACCCTTAAATATATTGGTGAGCAATCTAACTTGTTACATATTGATGAGTAATATAGTTCAAACATAGAACATTTTAAGTCTAACAGAATTAAGTGACAGATCCAACATACATGATTCGCGCCATCCCCAGCAATGCGTCTGACAATGTTTACTGCACACTCCTTGCTCAAAGTGCTGTACATGGAGCAATGGCTGGATACACCGGCTTCACTGTTGGTCTTGTTAACGGCCGGCATACATATATCCCATTGAATGTAAGTTCCTTCAATCATGAAGCATTATCTGTTGAGTTTTTTCTGTGATTGCTACAAACCAGTAATTGTCCTACTTTTTATCTGAAATGGCCTGTGGGCTTGAAAGGATACCTTTAAAATATTTAGAATGAACTTTAACCTGGTGGTGTTTGATGAGTTATAAAATTTAGTCCCATTTTCCTTTTGCAACATAAAATGTGTGGTGGGTTAATTTTCACAGTTTATTTTGTGCATTTCATTTTGAGTTATGATTTCTTGGGATATATTTGACAAATTCAGTCTTGATGCTGAAAAGTTTATTTCTCATTTACTTAAATCTGTGTCATTTGTATGCAGCGTATAATTGAGCGGCAGAACAAGGTTGTCATAACTGACCGGATGTGGGCACGACTCCTTTCCTCTACCAACCAGCCGAGCTTCTTGCGGCCAAAAGAAGTTGATGAAGCCAAAAACGAGGAGCTCCCTCCTACCCCATTGTTGGATGAGGGGAGGGGTGGTGCTGATGAATCTTCAGGTAATGCAGACACCAACATGAAATAGAAGCACGTGACACTTAGCACTTTTCTCTTTTAACCAGTAGCCACGGCAATTGCTCTCGTCTCCTGCCAAAGTTACAATTTCTTTGATGGTCGGGTCATGTAGGAATCAACTTTGACGGTCTCTTACGATGCCTCAGCTGCAGTTAGTGCCGTCTGTAACATTGCAAAATTTTGTTTAGTGGTGCTTGTGCTCTACTGAAAGATATCTTGAGACACCCACTGATTCCTTGTATGGTGAAAAGTTTGGAGCGTAGTTGCGGTCTTTCTGTGATAAAGTTCAAATTGGATAATTTCTGTGCGAAGATTTGTTTCCATGCGTCTTAAATCCCATCTTTTGCTATCGTAAATATTTGAGTATACATAGGCGACCCAATGAAGATAATACACATCGTTTTCTCTGATCATGAGTAGCCATTAATGGAAGCAACAATGCGTCAACTAAACTTCTTATTTTCGCTTTTATCTAATGGGCTCGGATTGTTGCGTGACATTTTAGTCACGAAATTTCCCAGGAATGCTTACCAAAAAAAATAAAATAATATGAAAAATAAAAATTCCAGGAAGGAATCTGTTTTTTGATGTACTTGAATTTGGAGAAGTCCTTCCTAAAGAACTCATTTTACATTTTCACTCATTTTACTTCTTAAACACAAAACCCAATGGAAAAGAAACTATCATCTAAACAACTTTCTGATTTACATTTTAAATTCTAATTTGAAATACTTTTTGTTAGTGTAATGATCATTTTAGAACTACAAATAGTTCAGTGACAAATTTAACAGGATTTCGTTGTTGCACGATTGTTTTTGGAACATTTTTATTTTTGTAGTGATTATAATTGACAATATTTAATTATTTAATGATAACCTGTACTTAATATTTCAAAATATAGTTTAAAATACTTTTCTTCAAAACTAACGTCTAAATAATATTTTTATTTTCCATTTAGTTTTTAATTTGAAACACTTTCTACTTTTAAGTGGCAAAATGCAATGTAAATTGACGTCCAAACAAGCACTCAGCCACTTCATCCACCCAGGAACGCTTAACCAAAAAAAAAAATAATAACAATTAAAAAAACCAGGAAGGAATCTATTTTTTGATATATTTGAAGTCTTCTGTATCTCTGCCTAATCAAACTTCTCCTGTAAGCTTGATCAAGATAGGTTTTTCTCTCTCCTCTTTTGAGGGTTTCTCCCTCTCTTTTGAGAGATTTGCTCTCCCTTTTGGGAGTTGGTTGGTTACTCATCTCATGCAGCAAGTGGTTTTATTTTCTTCAAAATTTTTATCGAATGTTTTTTTAATTTGATGTTCGTTAATTTTTTCATCCTTTGCATAAGAATTTAATGCTTTTCATGTTTTGAACTTTCCCTTATTAGTAAAAATAAACAAAAAACAATAAAACAAATTTCATTTATGAGGTTGTAACACTTTCTTATCCTACTCCACACAATATAATCCTGGTTCACTTTTCTTTGTAGAGTCTGCCTAACCTTCCTTTGACTTGTGGTTTCTTCTAGTACAGCTCTCTTTGACTGGCATCAATTTGGTACAGCGGCTGAATCAATTAGTGTATTGATAGTAGTAGTCCACATGGATGGTGGGTTTTTGGAGCGATTTCAATCTTTTTCCCTCTCTTCGATTGAAAAAGGAGGGGTGGATCTGACCAGGGGAGATGTCAAATTGGGAGAGGACGAAGGGCGTCGGAGCTTGATCGGAAAATTTTTTGGAGCCAAGAAAACCAGCTACATCGGAGTCCAGAATGCGATGATGCAGGTTTGGGGTGCACGGGGGATACAGAAGGTGATCTTTCTTCAGCATAATACTTATCAATTTGTTTTTGCTACTGTCAAAGATTGTGATGTGGTTATGAATATGCCGCCTTGGTCCTTCGTTGATTACTTTGTGGTCTTAAAATATTGGTCGTATCCGGTTGATTTGAATTCTGAATCTTATAATTTTTCCCCTGTATGGATACAAACATGGGGAATTCCAGTGCATTAGATGTCAGGAGACAGGCAGAAAGGTAGGGGAGTTATTAGGAAATGTTACTGATGTTATTGTCTTGGATGCTGGTGGTTCTGCAAATAGAGATGTAAAGGTGTTGGTGGAAATTGATTTGCGACAACCCCTTCCAAGAGGTACGTCTTTGAGATATGAAGGTTCTGAAATTTGTGCTGAGTTTAAGTTTGAGCAACTGCCTGTTTTCTGTCATTATTGTGGATGCATCGGTCATATAGGTACCTCATGTGAAGTTAGGAGAGTAGATGTGCAGCGAAAATGTTTGAAAGAGGAGCAATTTGGGCAATGCTTGAAGGCTGGGTATGTGCGTCGGGGGTATAATCCAGCTCCAGGGGAGAGTGGTAAGGCGGGTGTAGTATCTGGGGAGGAGAATAAGAGGCCGGTGCAATCTTCCAATGCAGGGGGGGTCTGGTTGCGAGTGGTGTTGATGCAATTGGGGATCATGGGGTGTTGCAAAGGTAAATGGTATGGAGATGCATGAGGGTGGTTTGGGAGACTTGCCTGCCATGGTGCAGGGCAATAGTGGTCAAGCAGTAGATCATGGAGGGAAGGAGGAATTGGATGTGGATGTGCAACAGCAGTCCCTAAATCTAATTAGTGAAAAAAGTGAGAAGGGGATATGATTAATCCTGACATTAAGGGATCTGACAGGATAGGAGATACAGGTTTGGTGGTGCATAAAGGGCAATGAAAGCGCAGAGCTAGAATGGTTCTGGCACTGAAGGATTCGAGTAGGATTGACATTAGAAGTTCCAGCCTTGTATTCGATGGTAAATGAGGGAGAGAGGATGGTCAAGAAGAAATTGTGGCACACCATGCACAATTACGGAGTAAGAAAGGAAAATTCGTACATCAAGAAACTCAACGGGTGGGGGAAACCAGCCGTAAATGGTCCCATATTCCCGGATGAAGACCATTATGTGGAACTGTAGGGGACTTGGCAGCTCTTCTACAGTTTCACAACTAAGAGAGTCGTGTCGACTCCATAAACTATCTTTAGTTTTTCTTTGTGAAACAAAACGTAAAAAGGGTTTTGTAAATACTGTTGGGCGTAAAATAGGGTTCAGAGGTAGATGGCATGTGATTGAACCATTGGGACGTAGTGGTGGAATGGCTTTTGGTTGGGCGGAGGGTGTTACTATATGTAATTTGATTGTTTCTTCATTTTGTATAGAGGTAGAGTTTCAAACTCAAGATTTTGTGTGTTGTGAATAGGCTACTTTTGTGCATGCTAGTACTGATGAGGGTACGCGCAAGTGTCATTTGGAGGAGTTGATCCGCAGGAAGCAAAACTGGGGTGATACTTGGTTTTTGGGTGGGGATTTTAATGATATTACATGTGTGGAGGAAAAGAAAGGTGGTAGAGCAAGATGTGAAGGAAGTTTTTAAATTTTAGAAGTTTTATTCATAGAATATGGGGGATATTCCTTCTTATGGTAGGTTTTGGATTTGGGCAAACAACAGGGAAGGTGAAGGGTTTATTGAGGAAAAACTAGATAGAATTTTCGGGTCTCCTCAGTGGCTTTTGGCGAATGGTGGTGCATTGGTCCAACATATTGATCGGCACTCTTCAGATCATTGCATGTTACTTTTGGATACCAAACCAGCTCAAAAACAGCGCAAAGTAAGGTTTTGTTTTGATAAACGATGGTTGGAAAAGGATGGAGTAGCAGATGTGGTTAGACAGGCATGCATCTCCCTGTCACAGTCCACCGATGTATATAGTTTCTCTTAAGATTAAATTGTGTCAGGTTGCATTACTTAAGTGGAGCAGGGAGCAGGCTACTAATTCGACAAAGGAAATCCAGCAATTTAATTTAGAAATGGACAGGCTGAAGGAATTGGGGGTAGTAGAGATTGGGGTCGATGGAATCTGCTTAAGGACAGACTAGCCTCTACTTATGCAGAAGAGGAAAAGTACTGGCAGCAAAAAAGTAGGAATTTGTGGCTAAAAGAAGGTAATAAAAATTCAAAGTATTTCCATGCTAGTACACTTAAGAGGAGGAAAGTGAATCGTATTGATGGTTTAGAAAATGCAAGGGGCGAATGGTGTGAGACTGAGCAGGAAATAGAAGCTGAAATCACAAGATTTTATGGGAATTTATTCACATCAGAGGATTCCATGGGGTGGGAGCAGTTGCTAAATTCGGTGCCTACTACTATCAATTCCCAAATGAATTCAACGTTGATCAAACCAATTGACGTTGGCGAAGTTAAGAGAGCTGTCTTCAACTTGAACTTCCATAAAGCTCCAGGTATGGATGATATGACGCCTTTGTTTTTCCAAACTTTTTGGTCCATTGTTAATCATGATGTGTGCTTGGCTGTGAAAAGTTTTTTCTAATCTGGTCATATGTTAAAATCTTTTAATCATATCCTAATCTCTTTTATTCCCAAATTAGCTCATTCTACTAAAGTTTCCCAGTATAGGCCTATTAACTTGTGTTCTTTCATTTATAAGATTATTTCAAAAATTTTGGCTGAATAATTAAAACCACTGCTGTCCTCCTGTATTAGTGAGAATCAATCAGCTCTCCTAGCGGGCAGGCAAATTTTAGATAATGTAGTTATTGTGCATGAATATGTTCACCACCTTAATAATTTGCGACAAGGTAGTAATAAGTACATGGCAATTAAACTGGATATGGCGAAGGCATATGATAGAGTGGAGTGATGATTTTTGGCTAATATCATGGTTAGAATGGGTTTTGATCTACTTTTTGTGGCTTGGGTTATGGAATATATACAATCAGCATCATTCTCATTTAATATTAATGATGTTCCAAAGGGCTTTCTTAAACCAAGGAGGGGGATTAGACAATTACAACTGTTGTCTCCATATTTGTTTCTTATTTGTTCAGAGGCTTTTTCAAATTTTATTAGGTTGTCCGTGCATCAGGGTGAGCTCAGTGGGATGCAAATTAGTGCACATGAGCCGGAAATAACACATTTATTCTTTACTGATGTTGCCCTTCTTTTTTGTAAAGCTGAGTTGGCTCAAGTGAGATGCATCAAGAAAATTTTGCAGGATTTTGGCACCTGTTTTGGGCAAAAAGTTAATTGGGACAAGTCCTCGATTTTCTTCAGCAAAAACACAAAGAGTGTAATGCGAGACCAGATTTTTGCTGAACTGGAGGGTGTGAAGGTATAGACAAAAGCCAAATATCTGGGTCTCCCTCTGGTGATTGGATGGGCCAAATTAGAGGTATTTCGATATGTGGAGGAAGCGGCCATCACAAAAATCAGCAATTGGAAAAATAAGTTGCTTTCAACAGCCGGTAAAGAAGTTTTGCTTAAATCTGTGGTTCAGGCAAATGCCAATTTTTTCAATGTCTTGCTATAAACTTCCGTTGGGTTTGTGTAAGAGAATTGAACAAAGAATGGCAAATTGTTGGTGGATGGAAGAAGATGGGAAACGTAAAATTCACTGGGGTTCTTGGGATAAAATTACTCTTAGCAAAGAGAAGGGAGACTTGGGATTCAAAAGTCCAAGTGCAGAGAATGATGCCTTACTTGCTAAGCAGGTGTGGAAATTAATTCTTGAGCCACACTCTCTTGTGGCTAAGGTGATGAAGAGCAAGTACTTCCCTCATTGTTCGATCTTTGATGTAGAAATGAAAGGCTCTGATTCCTGGTTATGGAAAGGTTGGTTAGGGATAAGAAACATCATCCAATGTGGAAATGGTAGATTAGAAATGGCCAGTCGGTTGATATTTGAAGGGATAATTGGGGTCCTTTTGGTGTGGTTAAGCCTGGTGTGTAGCATCAAAGATGTCAGCAGGTTCAAATGGTTTCTGATCTTATTGATCCAGTTGCTAGATGTTGGAAGATTGATCTCCTTAACCAGGTCTTTGTTCCAGCTGATGCTCTTAAAATTTGCCAAATTCCTTTAGGCCAATATGGTGCTCGAGATAGGTTGATCTGGGGAGAAGAAAAGAATGGTAAATTCACTGTTTCTTCGGCTTCTAAGCTAGCACTGGAATTGAAAGCTAATGATGGGAAAGGTCCAGAGTCCAGTTCTACTAGGGATCGAGCCAAGCGAACATGGTCCAGAACTTGGAAGCTGCCCATTAAGCCTAAGTTGAAGCACTTTTTGTGGAAAATCTATAAGAATTGGCTCTCGGTTCGTTCTACCTTGGGGAGAAGGGGTGTGATGGTGGAGGATATTTGTCCACGTTGTGGTAGTGGGACTGAATCAGTGGAGCACCTTCTATTTCAATGTAGTGAAGCTGAACTTGTATGGCATTTAGCTCCTGTGCAGTGCGATAACACACAATATCATCTTTTCTTTTTTTCTGCCTGGTGGGACTCGCTGTGTGAAGCTAACTTTGATGAGGGTTTCCAAGCTAAAGTTGAACTTTCTGTTTATCTTTTTTGGCATATTTGGAAAGCTCAGAACTCTTGGCTATTTAATGGTATTAAAATTGAGCTTTGGGAGGTGGTGCAAAAAGCTACAAATGAGTGGTTGGAGTACATGCATTTGCAAAAGAAGGGTGAGGCAAAGCTAGCATCGCCAGCTAATACAACGGACTTACAAGGGTGGACTAACCCATGTAGAGGTATGTTCAAAGTTAATATTGGCTCTAAATTTCATAAACAAAAGGGTTGTGTTGGGTTGGGGTTTACTATTAGGAATGCACAAGGTGAATTGGTGGTTGCGAAGTCAGTTTTTCTGCCATATGTATTAAATGACTGTACAGTAGAAGCTGAAGCTGTGAGAGCAGCTATTTTTGAGGCGCAGCACCGCATGTTGCAGCATGTAGAAATACAAGTAGATGTGAAAACTATGGCCACTTGGTTGCAGGGTAAAAGTACTCCTGCTTCAGATGTTCTAGCTATAGTTGACGACATCTATTTGTAAAAATCTTATTTTTTGACTTGTAAATTTTCGTTTCCCAGGAAACAATGAAACTTTTCTGTTCACGGTCTTGCCAAATTAGCCTTATCTAATAATTGTTCACAGTGTTGAAAAACTAACTCTCTATTGTGGTTAAATAAGGTGTTTAGGGCGGATTGTAATAACTCTGATTGAGCCATTGTACATGTTTTTCTATTTTTATGTTATGAAATGAAGATCGATTTTGACCAAAAAAAAAAAAAAAAAAACTTGATCAAGACAAACTTTGCTTCAAGTACTTGAGGCAATTCAAGATGATTGCTACAATTTCATTCAACAAGAAGAGAAAAAACCACCACGATATACAAAAATGAATTATTCCAAATCCCCCTCAGGCGGATTAGCTGGAGCTACATTTGGATTGTTGTAAATAAAGTTCACAATTTTTGGCGGGTGAATAATTCAAATACCGGATACAGGAGAGTTTATTCAAGTGGCGCAAAATAATACTCTCATCTCCAATAAGCAAAATCAGCCCTGTAGCGAGGGGAACAAGAGAATATAAGGGAACAGTTGTACACTTGCATTGATCAGAGTCAATTATGTCATACAATGTAACACAGACAACAGTCAATATTCTGCATCTTGCCAGTAGGGAAGTAGATCATAATACACTACGCAGTCATGCGACTAAAGATTATCTTCTGCAACCCGAAGGATTGCTTACAAAAGAATGAAACAGATAAGACTCTAGCTCCTGTAAACACCAGAAGGTTCTGCATTTTGTACAATCCATGGATGCTCAAGTAATTTGTGCAGAGGCAGGCGTTGTGACGAATCTCTGACCAACATCTGTCAACATAGAAAACCAGATGAAATGAATGTACATGGTTTGACACTAATAATTTAAGTAAGGTTGAAAAGGATCAGACCTGACTGATGAGGTCCTTGGCTGCAGATGAGACAATAGGTTTTGCTGGGAATTTCAAGTCCACTTGCACTATCCTGTTTGCATCAGAAAAAAAAAAAAAAAAAAGAGAACGTTACACACACGAGTAAATGCAGAAGTCTGACTTAACTATCAACTTCTTTTATTATGTAACATTCCCTGATAGAAAACTATCTATGAAGACAAATGTCAAACACTAACTGCAGACGATCTTATTTACCTTTTATATGTGTCTGAATGTTCCTTTGCTTCAAAAGGAGGCATCCCGTAGAGAAATTCATAGCACAGGACGCCAAGGCTCCAGATATCGACATTAGCATCATGCTCTACACTCTCCACTGTAAATTGATCGAGAGCAACACGGTCAATGTTCAGTTAAAACAGCATATAATGTGGTCCATGCTACAAGAGGCATCTTCAGAGATATTCAACATGATTAAAATTTCCTAGTTTCCACAGAAAGTTTCTAATCATTTGGACTTAAAGTGTGAACAAGAATCCTATTTGATGTTGTTGGAACCCAAGTTTGAAATGCATACAGAGATATTCAACATGATTACAATTTCCTAGTTTCCACAGAAAGTTTCTAATCATTTGGACTTAAAAGTGTGAACAAGAATCCTATTTCATGTTGTTGGAACCTAAGTCTGAAATGCATACAGAAATTCATCAATAATAGTTGATACAAGCTGAAGACGACTTTACCCATCTCAGGTGGCAAGTAATCTAGCGTTCCACACATGGTTCTTCTGCGATTGAAAGTGTGAACTGACCAACCGAAATCTGCTATCTTAAGTTCACCCTGTAATAGAAGAATGCAATCCATGAGCACCTTGTAAGAAAAAGATCGCTAAGACACCAAACAACATGGAAACATTAATTTGCCAAGATTCTACCTGTGCACCAACCAAAAGATTCTCCGGTTTGATATCTCGATGTATCACGTGCTTCCCATGGCAATAAATGAGGGCACGAGCAAGTGAAGCAATATACTGGTTTGTAAGTAAAGAAACAAAATTGTTAGTTCAAATTGCAGAAAGGCTTACACAACTAACACTTCAGAACCAATAACATCAAAGATAATAGCAAGGAGGAAAAACAAAGATCAGATTCAAGGTGTTCTCAAAGATCTAAGATGCACATTCAGATAAAGTTAAGCTCCAAAAAAGACATCAGAGGACTCACAGTAGCTGCACGTCTCTCGCTGAAATATTTACACTTCTGCAACTCCTTGTAGAGCTCACCCTTTGCAGCATATTCAAGAATCAAGTACACTCGTTTCTGCGTAAGTTATTCAAAATCAGTCTTCTGATGAATTTTTCCCTTTTCACAAATAAGATTGATTAGCATTCATTTTACCTGATCGTAAAAGTAGCCATAGAGTCTAAGAATATTAGGATGACGCAGATGACTCTGTATTTCAACTTCTCTGCGGAGCTGATGTTCAACTTGGGACTGTTTCAGCTGGCTTTTAAATAACACCTTCAAGGCCACAATGTGATTACTCTGTTTGAATCCATAAAAGGAAAGAGTAATACGAATTAGAATCAGTGGTCATTACATATACATCCAAAAAGAAGGCAGCAGATCCACACAAAAAATGCAAGCTGACAAAATACAGGAACAAGGATGGTAAAAAACTGCCAACCCAAAAACAATTGGCTATGAAATAGTATATGATATGTAAAGGATGCATTTATGCAAACTCCAGAACAGCAATAACACAATATACAGAGACCAATGAACTAATCTTCTGATGTCCAACTGAGCCAGAAGATGCAGCTATAAAACTATTAAGTATATCATCAGTGACTCTTACCCTCTTTTCCCTAGCTAAATACACATGACCAAACTTTCCTCTACCAAGAGGCTTTCCAATATCAAAGTCATTCAAGGTCCACCGCTTTTTCTCTGCTGCAGCTGAACCCTCCGAAGAACCCTGCAGAAGATATAACCTTATATGAAACTCAGAAGAAGGGAAAAAATAGACAACAGCAGCTATAAGAAATTGAGATCCTAACTACAGCTGATGACAGAACTTTACCATTTAATAGAGAGTGAAAGTTTTAATCTCGAATTAGGCATAGTAAAACTTTAATTAGCAGAAACTCAATAAATCCTTTTAAAATGATGGGGGAGGGGGGAGAGGAAATCAAAGGCCCTAATTTTGTCCAACGATCACGAATTAAACACAGAAACCGACAACCAGAAGAGGAATTTTCATAATGCTGCAACTAGCTTTTCGAGGAATCAAGAACAAGACAAAGATTTCCATTTCCATTTTCAATTCAAGTTTGAACAAACCCTAGGCTCGGGAGACATAACCAAGGAACCTCATTTGAATCTCGCACACAATAGGCATCAATTAATTAGACAAAATCCATTTAAAAACCTTCCCAGTACAAATAAATCCCCAGAAACAGAAGATCAACAAAATCCCACACGGAAAAAAAAAAAAAAAAGATTCAAAAGAAAACACCCAGAATTCTCTTTTCAAAACTGCAATTGTTTTTTTACCTTGTGATCTTGCTGCATCTCTGTGGCGACCCCCATTCTTCCAGTTCTTCTTGCGAGAGGGAGAAAGATCCAAAAAACAAGAAAGAATGGAAAAAATTTGAAGCGACAGAGAGACAAAAGAGAAAGAGAAGAAGGACGACGAAGAGAGGAATGGACGGAAAAGTGGAGTTTTATTTTCGAATTTGGGGACAATCCCTAACGGTCATCTAAACTCAGGTTAGATTAGAAGATACCACATGGTCACATTTATGACGTAGGCACTCGTTTTTTTTCTTCTTTTTTTTTTTTTTCTTTGGGATCCAAGAATTTGTCTGTTGTCAACGGAGGAGCGTCACTTGAATGCCGGCTTTGGTCTTTTAAGTTTTTTTTTTGTATGTTCCTTTTTATTGAATTTTTTTTTTCTTTTCAAACACGTAAAATTTCTTCGATGTACATAGTCATATTTTTATAGTCTAGTCGTCTACCGCATAGGCTTGCTAAGACGTGTCTTCAACCTTCAACAATTGTACTCTTCTGTTATACCTTATCTCTAAGATATATGAAAAGAATTTTGATGAGTACTCTTCTGTTATGTCTTATCTCTAAGATATATGAAAAGAATTTTGATCGAGAGACACGTGTCGCTCAATTATGATACTAAAATAACTTTCACAGTAAAACCTTAACAATAAAATAGTTAATCTTTTATATTTACTATTTATCTTTAATATAATCATTTTATTTTGACTATCTACCTTTAAATTTAATTACCTATAACTAATTTACCTCGAGTAATAAATATTTTTTAAAAAATATGGTCAAATACTTCTAATAGATTTCTTTCTGGTGACGAATAGACGTCATTCCGGTGACCATTATCTGGACCAACAACAATTATTCTTGATTTGAGGAACATCGGCAGCGGCGGCAACAGTCCATATCAAACCATTTGATGATGGTTGCAGCTGCTTTCTATATTAAGATCAAACTTTTTTTTTTTATATACTAGATGCTAAATCGCGCGGGATTTATTTATATACATTATAGAAAATCTACAAAAAAAATATAAAAAGTATAAAATGAATTTTACTATTTTTATTTATAATCCATCAGTAATGTAGGTATTTTGGAGTATATTTTACTATCCAAAATTTTACTATCCAAAAGTGGAAATAAATAGAGATAAATTGGGATTGATGATAATTGATTATCCAAAATTTCAGTGATAAAGATAAAGTTTATAACAATTTTTTAGATATTATTAAGGAAAGATTATATTTATTTGGGTAAATAAGATATTACACAAATAAATGCATTGGTTTGAAATTCAAAAGATAACATTTAATTATAGTTAAATCCCATCCTTTTAGTAATAATTGATGGCAAGTTTTGTACATTTTTTTTCTTTTTTATTGGCGAAAAATACAGGGTCATGTTTTTGGAAGAAGATTTTAAAGATAACATTAATGTTGAATGATTGGTTTTTTTTTTGAATCGTAGTCTATTGATTTACATGATTGGGAGAGAGGTTTTTTTTAAAGAGATTAATTAAATGAGTCCAGTAGTCACTTTGGAGATTCTTTTGGAGAGGGAATAATTCTGGTGCATTAATGTTCATTAATCCCGTCCATTAAATTTAATTAATTTTTATTTTCCTATTTTAAACTATAGTTTTAAATGCCATTTGATAAAACTTTATTTACATAAAATTTGAAGGACTATTAGTATAACTGTTGTAAATATTTTTTGACTCAATCATTAGAAAAATGACACATAGGATTTTATCCTATGTATCACCTTTAGAATTCTTTTTTTGTTTTCTCTCTCTGGTTTCTCTTAGTATAATAATATATATATATATATATATATATATATATATATACTATAGATATTTTAGGGGGTAGGGGGAGAGGTGCAAGAATTTCTACAACAATTTTATGACTTTTCCACAGGATTCACGGGGATTTCATGATAAGCCATAGAAGATGAGGTTTTGTACTGAAAAAAAAATTAGAACAGTCTAAATAGCGATAAAAGAGTAGTTGAAAGAAAGATAAGCATGAGAAGAAATTAATTGGGGAGGGTGGAGTTTTTTCGGGGATGAAAAAAAAAATGGAAATCAAATCACTATACTCGCCATTGTCCGCAAGGATAGTGGTGGGTGTCAAGCCAACAAACAATTTAACCTACTTTCAAACTAGTAGCATAGGAAAGCAAGGTCGTCTCCTCAGGGAATGGTGGATTTGTTTCTTTCAAATAAGTAACCGCAAGGGGGGTTTTGAGTTTTTAAAACTAAAATGTAGTTAAAATAAAATTCAAATGATAGTTAAAAAAAAATGAAAGCAAATTATGAGAAAGTTTCTAGTCAAAAGATTTTATATCCACCTTGGTCTAGACAATTGATCATAGATGCAATGATGCTCAATCACTTATAGGCAAATTAGTTTTCGTTGTTGGAACCTCCTAACAACTCAATCTTGAACTAAGTTTAGCGATTAAGAAAACCTTCATTAAACACACTAGTCGAAATTCAATCCTGGAACCTCCTAAGATTAAGAAAACGACTGCATTAAGTACAAAGACCCAATTCTGGTCCCTATGAAACAAACCTTGTTTAATAAAAAACCAGATTACTTGTTCTTATAACATAACAAAATCACTTACCAAGTAATTTAATTATATCAGTCCCTTTTAAAACAACAAACATTGTTGCCTTATTGGTTGTTAACTAACATGAAATAATGAATGCTACCAGCTATTCATGAATCCACAATAATCATATCAATCATGCAATAGAACGAGCAAATACTCACAAGAAATTGAGAAAGAAACAACATTTAGATCTCACAACTATTCAAACCAATGCTTCAATATCTTTCAACTAGAAAAATAATTTAATTACACATAATAAAGTCTTACTGAAACAAAACTATGGAGAATGGGGAAGAATAACGCCCAAAAGAGCTAGATAGGCGGCTTAGGACCACTCCAGCCTCCTCTTCTTCTTCTCACGTTCAGCCCCTCCCCAAAAGAAAGAATAAAATCAATTTATATGGGGAACAAGTAGGTCAGCTGCAGCAGGAAATTAGTTTTTCCGAGATTTGCAAATTGGTCCCTCAAGTTTGGCAAAATTACATTTTAACCCTAAAACTTTTTTAATTTTTCATTTTAATCCCTGCTTCAGTTTGGTCAAACGGGAATGCAGCATCAATGCTGGAATTTCTTCCCTAAAGCTCAATTTTGGACTGAGATTCGTGTGCCCACACGAGAAAGTGATGTCATTGCTCTCTTTTTGTGCTTTCTTGTCAAAATGCTCCAAAAATGTGTGTTTATGAAACATTTTTCTCAATTTCAGCTCCAATCACTCCTAAGAACCAAAAACATCAAAATACACAACATAAGTGCACAATCTAATCCAAAATGCTATACAAATACCCATAAATAACATGAAACTTCAAGACCTATCAGATAGTATTATGGTGGTAACTATATCATCTCTCTGATGCCAGCGACGACGTTGATTTGTTTAATTAGTTTTATCTTAGTCTATGTATCTATGCTTTATATAGAATTTAAACAGAAGACACTTTTTATTTTTAGTAATTCAACTATGCATTCGAATTCTTGACATGAAATTTTCATGTCCGTTGGACCAAAATATTGATAAAGGTCAGATTTTGGCATTCCAATTGAGGGAAATTGCACTGGGTTTTGGATGCTTTAAAAGTTAGCTATGTTTTGGTTGTCCCTTAATTTATTGATCCTTCTTCTTCTTTTGTTTTCCCTTTTAAATGAAATAAGCAAAGGCTTAGTGAAGTTTATCAATTATATTTTGGTTCCAAAACAGTTCACTGATGACCATTTTTGTATGATTATTGCAATTACCTTTCGTGCGTTTAATTTGATGAATTCACCAGGCTAAGAATTTGCTTTCATATTCAATTATATAATTGTCACACTAAAGATTTGGTCCACCGTTTTGGTTCTAATCTCTAAACTTTCATTACAAGATGATGACATGTCCAAGGAAGATAAAATTTTATATGATTCTTTAACCAGTGATTCTAATTGCTGGTTCTTCTTTTTCTTTTTTTTTCCCTTCCTTTTTTGATTCAATTGAATGTCGAAAATGCTAAAATAGTAATCAAAACTATTGCAGATTTTTAACTTATGAAAGACTCAGAACAAATTTTTAACCTATAAAAGACTCGGAACTTTTTAAATATCAAAGACTCAGAACAGATTTTTAACCTATAAAAGACTCGGAACTTTTTAAGTATGACGATACAGAGTGACAGGCTATCTCTAAGATATATAAAAGGAATTTTGATCCAAAGACATATGTCGCTCAATTAGAATACTAATAGCTTTCATAGTATATTCTAATGATAACATGGTTAATATATTATATTATATTATATTTACTATTTACTTTAGAAAATGGTGAAAATGTGTTTTACAAATTGTATTTACTATATTCAATATTTACTAATTTAGTTAATGTGATAATTAAAAAATATTGGGACATAATTTTTCACCGTCCAGATTCATCGGAATTGATGCTGAATCAAATCCGAGACATGTTGATGATTGACGGAGCTTTCACCATGGAGGTCACCATTGTTTCAGCATAACGTCAATGATGAAGTTGCTGAACTCTTGAAAAGATTCTCTCAAAAAAAAACCAAATAAGCAGCAGATTAACAGCACCAGTAGGTAAGGACATAGATAAAGACTCTCTTTGGTCTATTAAAGTATGTCTTTTGGTCTTGCCACGATCGCCGTCGTACTCTTCTGTTCAGATTTCATCCGTCGAATAAACTCACCGGATCGTGTTTGTTCTCGCTCACCGCTATACTGGAGGATCAAAACCAAATTCAGTTTAGGGTACTCTACAATTGAATCAACGATAGGTTGGGTAATCTGCAAATGCCGAAAATTTGGGGTTAGTTTTTGGACACGTTGGATAATGCACAGAATCAATATTGAAAATTGGATTTGATCCTATACATTTCAAGTTTGATTTTAATTGTTATCACATCACTTATATGAGATAATTCCATTATTAGAGGAGATCGTTATCATTAATAACAAAATCCTTCAACTAATAGACCTCTTTATCTTATCGTATTTCCTGATAAATCGAACAACTTAATTAAAAGAGTTCAAAAAAGGAATCAAAATTTTGAACTCCTAATAAATTAGGCGGGATGAAGACATGAGTTTCAAAAATTGTACATCATTTATGTTAATTGTCTCAAATGACGGCTGTTATATGAAGTAAACCCGTAGCAATCAATTCGATTTTGAACGTCACTGCAAATACACCTATTTTTTTTTTTTTTGAAAATTATATACTGATTACTGATTAC